ATCTAGAAATGTGGTTGTTGACCTAAATTTATAGAGCCTGTGCAGCTCTTATGAATGGCCTGTTATAAATCATCCACTAACGTGGTACAGCATTAGTTCAACTGAGACATTAATAAAATAAACGTAGTTGTTTGACCCTGCAAGTTAATAAAATAAACGTAGATGTTTGACCCTGCACTTGATTGCACCACCCTATTCTGTAGTTTAGGATCAGCGACAACATCCTCAGATTCAATTTAACAGGCTTATACGAGGGTATGAAAATATCACTTTATTGTGGTTCAACAGAGATGTAAATGAGAGTATGAAAAGCTAATATCCAAACCAGCACAGTTTGGATCGGGTCAGCGGGACAGTGTATAAAGGGCATTGGAAACCACCATCCTGACAAACAGACAACTCTCAGACACAGATGTTAAGACTAATTGACCTATTGTATCAACAGATATTGGTATTGAACCAAAGTTTTTGACCCAGAAGCAGGCTTTATTTTTTCCTATGTGGAAATGGATGTTGCTATTAGATCACTTTTCTAATAACATTATCACCATTATAATCCCCAGAGGCTGTTTCCCTCACATGAACTCCAGATCACAACCCTCCCCTATCCAACAAGGTCTAAAGAGGGTGCTGTGAATTAATGTATATGTATAATGTATATAATTCAAGGTATATTCTTCAAAGTAGCCACCCTGTGGGATGGCATATCGCTGCAGAATGCTGTGGTAGCCATGCTGGTTACCACAGACAGTGTCACCAGCAAAGCACCCCCACACCATCACACCTCCTCCATGCTTCACGGTGGGAATCACACATGCGGAGATCATCCATTCACCTACTCTGCGTCTCACAAAGACATGGCGGTTGGAACCAAAAATCTCAAATTTGGACTCATCAGACCAATGGACAGATTTCCACCGGTCTAATGTCCATTGCTCGTGTTTCTTGACCCAAGCAAGTCTCTTCTTATTGGTGTCCTTTAGTAGTGGTTTCTTTGCAGCAATTCAACCATGAAGGCCTGATTCACACAGTCTCCTCTGAACAGTTGATGTTGAGATGTGTTTGTTACTTGAACTCTGTGAAGCATTGATTTTCCGCATTGACTGACCTTCATGTCTTAAAGCAATGATGGACTGTCGTTTCTCTTTGCTTATTTGAGCTGTTCTTGCCATAATATGGACTTGGGTCTTTTACCAAATAGGGCTATCTTCTGTATACCACCCCTACCTTGTCACAACACAACTGATTGGCTCAAACGCATTAAAAAGGAAAGGAATGCCACAAATTAACTTTTTACAAGGCACACATGTTGAATGAATGAATTATTTTTATTTTAGTGTCAAATCGCCAATTGGCAACCCATCCCTATGGGATTAATTGACACAAACATTACAATCATTCACTGTGATAATTCAATGATAATTCTTCTGTTAATTGAAAAGCATTCCAGAGAATGCCAAGCGTGTGAAAAGCTGTCATCAAGGCAAAGGGTGGCTACTTTGAAGAATCTTAAATATAAAATATATTTTGAAATGTTTAACACTTTTTTTGGTTACTACATGATTCCATATGTGTTATTTCATAGTTTTGATGTCTTCACTATTATTCTACAATGTAGAAAATAGTAAAAATAAAGAAAACCCCTGTAATGAGTAGGTGTGTCCAAACTTTTGACTGGTACTGTATATATTTCTATTTGAAAAGATATCCCACTTTACATTTAGGTGTCACAAAAATAATGGACTGTATTTACAACCGTTGTTACATCGTTCTTACAACTGATATACCTGTTTCTGTCTTTCCGTTTGTTTTATCACAAGACTAATGGAACAGACTACATTCTGTAAAATAAAGATTTAGAAAACAACTCTGGTCATTACAAACATGAACTTCAGTGCAAAAAAATGAAAGTATTTTTGCATTTATTAGACAATTTGATCACTTACAGTGTGTAGATTGAAGCATACGAGGAATGTCAAAATAATCTTACTTTTTTCCCCCAGTTACCCACCATCTCTCAATATATTCAGTTGCATACATATAAACAGACCAAAATATAAACAGTTCAACCAAATATACACACAATAACCTCAACAAAGACAATATGCAGGGAGCAAGATGAAGACAATGCACAATGGAGATTACATGTTTAAAATCGAGAGGATTTTATGGAAGATATAACCAAGAGGTAATAGCAATCTCAAGTTTGCTTGTTGCCACCCTTCACTGGCAGTTTGCATGATTTGAATGATTCCTGTTTTAACTTCACCCATAAGACATCACACCACAGAAAAAGCAGTAAACAAAAAGTTGCATTGGTTTGATCTACATAAATCAAAATAAAATTCCTTTACACATCATTGAACAAAAAGCAGAATAATGGAATGAAACAAAATCCACCCCCCAAAGCAGGTCGTAGGACTGGGTTATATTACATAAACACAGAAGTAGATTAACTAGAACAGACACTATCCCTCCATAATGTATGCACTAAAAACACTGTTCTACAAATTCTAATTCTACGGTGGTACAGCCAGGTGTGTTGCTGTTTCTCACAGTGACACGCTCATGCAGAAGGACTATTTGACGAGTTGACATGGCTCGCTTGGGGTGAATCCTAACTTCCACTTAAGCAAAATGTTCACTTAGTCATGCATTAATGTCAACAGGACACCAACTGACATTATTCGGCTCAAGCGGAAGTTAGGATTTGCTCCATAGTGAGCGATAGTGGCTGGGTGCCTTGGCCTAGCCTGACAGGCAGATAGCTGCCTGGGGGGAAACACTGGGGATGACCCATGGTCGACCTCGCCACATTGGGTTTGTGAAGCTGAGTTCCCTGCTGTCAAGCCAGCTGGGGGGGGGGGGTTTAGGCTACAGCACCAATGACATCACTCCCTAGGGTGAGGAAGAGGACCAACCCAGAAGAGGGGGATGAGGTGTGAGGGGACCCCGGTGTCCCCAGAGTATACCTCCTTCAACCAGAGAGGACCAAGGATATCCGAGCTGTCAGGGAAAGACAGAGCTATAGGTCTACCTGATTCAATGAACGAACGCTCGCAGAGCAGTCTCCAGGGACAGTTCTATTGATGTAAGTAACAGTTCTATTGATGTAGCAGTTCTATTGTGTAAGTAAGAGTTCTATTGATGTAAGTAAGAGGTCTATTGATGTGAGTAACAGTTCTATTGATGTAAGTAAGAGGTCTATTGATGTGAGTAACAGTTCTATTGATGTAACAGTTCTATTGTGTAAGTAAGAGTTCTATTGATGTAAGTAACAGTTCCATTAATGTACAGTAGGTTCCGATACACAGTCTGGAAATGTTGCATGTTCTCCCTGATGATATACAGTGAGGCAGTGGTCAGGATACCTAACTAGCAGTCAACTGCAGTCACGGTCCATAAATGGCTGGGTGGAATTGGATATGTAGTGTTTCTTTTAAAGACAGTCCAAAATACCAATTTTACACACAACGAAGAGGAGCAAGGTAAACACACACACATAGAGAAATATGCAGTACAAATGCATGAATAAATGTTTGTGCATATACCTTTCTATAATGGATATATTAACACGGGATTTGTTCAATGTCCAAAAATATTTTCTTAATATTTCAAAATAAATATGGAATGGTAACAATACATACATTTATATATGTATGATATTAATCTAAATACATTCCTGATATTTTGTCAGTTCTTTCTAAGGGGACTTAAGGTGGAATGAATAGCTTGAGGCCATTTACTTTGTTGTAAACATCCCCTGGATCGTAGTGTAGATAGATAGTAGTGTGTAGTTATGGCTGACTAACACACTTCCACACTCCACTATAGTAAAGTAAACAAGTTCAGTAAGTGCTATGTTCCATTATGAGATATCACTACACACCAAAACCATCCTACATGGTACTCAGCAACATCAAGAAATAGGACCCAAGCAAACTAGTGTAACAGAATGTAAAAGTTACAGGTAACCATGGACATTTTAAAACATGTCTTCAAGAAACACATCAATCGGTTAATGGAAGAACGTTAAATTACATTGGTTATTAGAAAAACTTTAAATGATATTGCACAACTGCCACATAGTAAAAACAACAACACATGCCTTAACAGTACAGCAGCTTGGAAAAATGACATTGTATCTGGGCTTCCCTTGCATTGTGTTTTGCCAGAATGATGGCATCACTCAACAATCAGATCTCTACTACTAAAAGGCATCCATATCGCCACTTTCGGAGTTAAAAGTAAAGCTTTTCCAGTGTTAAAGTAAAGCTTTCCTTAAGGCATTGACGTCAAAACAAAACGATCAGTGTAATTTGCTGAATTATTTCAGAGAAACTCCCAAAATGTCTTGTTTGGTAAAGACTCACAAAATCATACTGTACCGAGACATAGTTCGAAAATCTGACACCAGACAAACATAAATAGCATTTATATCGCTGCTGAAGCAATGTTCAACATAATTCATAACAATGAATGCACACACACGTCCCCCGACTCCTGAACACTGGTCAGTGTAAAGGAGAGCGCTCCCATATAGAAATAGCCACAACTCTGTACTAGGGTCAGTTCTAAAGCCTTTTTCCAAAAGCAGGCCCAATGGGAAAAGACAATGGAATAGCAAAGACATTGTAGTGAATGTACCCAAGTCTATTAGACTGTGGAAACATCATAAAGTAATGGTGGTTGAACATTTGTCCTCTGAGTGTAAACTCAAAACCTGGATATACCAGCTACAGTTTTGCAGTAGTGTTGCTGTATGACGGTAATGTGCAGTAAAAGGGTAAGCAAAACAAACAATGTCAACCACAAATTATCAAAATCAAACCGTAGAGGCACCACAACGCCAGGAAGTGGGAAATAAGAATCACCCAATGAGAATCGCAGTCTTCGATCACTCAGCCAGTCAGTCGACGCATTCTTTCGTCGTCATGGCTACATCCTGACCCTAGAATGCTGAAGCAGAACGTCGTCCTGATTGGAAGCTGGGGGGAGTTCTACATCTCCTCATAGTCTTCGTCTCCGGCGAGGAAAGACTCAAGGTCGTCCACCACACCTCCGGCCTTCTTGGTCGACTTTGACTTATTTTTCTTCTTCTCCTTCTCGTCCCCGCTCCCTGACTCCTCCTTTTTCTTCTGTTTGTGTCGTTTCTTGCTGCTTTTGTCATCCTCCTATAAGGAGCAGACGTGTTCCACAGTTACTATTACCTAAGGGTGACACATCACCTTTCACCTTTCACCTTACCTCTTTACTCTTCTTCTTCTTCTTCTTCTTGTCCTTTGTTGAGGATCTACTTTCTCGGTCTGCAAGACAAGTAAGCAAAATTTAGACAGTTCTGCATTTTTTTACCGATACATATACCCAAACTGTGAAAGTATGAAACACACAGACACACTAGTCCAGAATAGTGATCATGACTCCAATGATTTCCAATGACTTTGCTTCGGAACCTTGCTCACCATCTTGGTCCTCACTGCTCTCCTTGCTCTTGGGCGCCACCTCCTGGAATCCCAGTCCAAACAGGTCCAGGTTGTCGCTCTTGATGGGGAGGACAGAGGGCTTGACCGGCTCCAGGTACTCCAGTACAACCGAAGGCTCCTTGGTAAAGGGGAGACAGGAAGGGAGGGGAGAGAGAGAAAGAAAGAGAGCGCCAGAGTGAGTGAGTAGGGGACAAAGAGAGATGGAAAGACAGAAAGAAGGGGAGAGATTAAGTAGGAGAAAGAGGTTGGCACAATAGATGGGCCTTTTCTATTTCAGATTCAGTCTAATTCAGCATTTCTAAACCCAGTCAAATATACGGGCCCTGAGGACAAGGTTGAGAAAGGTAAATTCTCCTTCTGTTATTCACTGAGTACGGTTACATGCACACAATAATCTGATTGTTGTGGCTAATCAGATTAATATAATAGTTCGATTAAAACGTTTACATGCTTTGCAAGAAGAACAATTTCTCTAATAATCCTGTTTACATGGACACATCTGAAATCAGGCTACCTGATGGCACGCTGATAAATGTCTAAAGTCGACAATCGAAATAAACGTTCTACCACAGCGACCATGTTATTTGTGGTAAGCATATTTGATTCTGAGTTCAGACATAGTTTGTATGTGAAAACTACTTCTAAGACGCATACATTCAGTTGTTCCGAACTCACTTGACTTGCGCAAAAGAGGAAGGCTCGCTCCTCAATGAGGAGATCAAATACACAGCTGATTAAGGTATTCACATGTCCTTATAATCTAGAAAAAGATTGCTCAGAAAACTAGGTGTTTTAATCGGCGGATGCTTACTTCGATTTTGACCTTTCACCCATTAAAATAAGTAGAGTTAGGTGTTTACTAATCTGCCTTTAGTCGTGGTCAAACGTTTTGAGAATGACACAAGTATTGGTCTTCACAAAGTTTGCTGCTTCAGTGTTTTTAGATATTTTTGTTAGATGTTACTATGGTATACTGAAGTATAATTACAAGCATTCCATAAGTGTCAAAGGCTTTTTATTGACAATTACATTAAGTTTATGAAAAAGAGTCAATATTTGCAGTGTCGACCCTTCTTTTTCAAGACCTCTGCAATCCGCCCTGGCATGCTGTCAATTAACTTCTGGGCCACATCCTGACTGATGGCAGCCCATTCTTGCATAATCAATGCTTGGAGTTAGTCAGAATTTGTGGGTTTTTGTTTGTCCACCCGCCTCTTGAGGATCGACCACAAGTTCTCAATGGGATTAAGGTCTGGGGAGTTTCCTGGCCATGGACCCAAAATGTTGATGTTTTGTTCCCCGAGCCACTTAGTTATCACTTTTGCCTTATGGCAAGGTGCTCCGTCATGCTGGAAAAGGCATTGTTCGTCACCAAACTGTTCTTGGATGGTTGGGAGAAGTTGCTCTCGGAGGATGTGTTGGTACCATTCTTTATTCATGGCTGTGTTCTTAGGCAAAATTGTGAGTGAGCCCACTCCCTTGGCTGAGAACCAACCCCACACATGAATGGTCTCAGGATGCTTTACTGTTGGCATGACACAGCACTGATGGTAGCGCTCACCTTGTCTTCTCCGGACAAGCTTTTTTCCGGATGCCCCAAACAATCGAAAAGGGGATTCATCAGAGAAAATGACTTTACCCCAGTTCTCAGCAGTCCAATCCCTGTACCTTTGGCAGAATATCAGTATGTCCCTGATGTTTTTCCTGGAGAGAAGTGGCTTCCTCGCTGCCCTTCTTGACACCAGGCCATCCTCCAAAAGTCTTCGCCTCACTGTGCGTGCAGATGCACTCACACATGCCTGCTGCCATTCCTGAGGAAGCTCTGCACTGGTGGTGCCCCGATCCCGCAGCTGAATCAACTTTAGGAGACGGTCCTGGCGCTTGCTGGACTTTCTTGGGCGCCCTGAAGCCTTCTTCACAACAATTGAACCTCTCTCCTTGAAGTTCTTGATGATCCGATAAATGGTTGATTTACAGTGCCTTGCAAAAGTATTCATCCCCCTTGGCATTTTTCCTATTTTGTTGCATTACAACCTATAATTTAAATTGATTTTTATTTGGATTTCATGCAATGGACATACACAAAATAGTCCAAATTGGTGAAGTGAAATGAAAAAAAGTACTTGTTTCAAAAACTTCTAAAAAATAAATAACGGAAAAATGGTGCATGCATATGTATTCACCCCCTTTGCTATGAAGCCCCTAAATAAGATCTGGTGCAACCAATTACCTTCAGAAGTCACATAATTAGTTAAATAAAGTCCACCTGTGTGCAATCTAAGTGTCACATGATCTCAGTATATATACACACCTGTTCTGAAAGGCCCCAGAGTCTGCAACACCACTAAGCAAGGGGGCACCACCAAGCAAGCGGCACCATGAAGACCAAGGAGCTCTCCAAACAGGTCAGGGACAAAGTTGTGGAGAAGTACAGATCAGGGTTGGGTTATAAAAAAATATCCGAAACTTTGAACATGCCACGGAGCACCATTAAATTCATTATAAAAAAATTGAAAGAATATGGCGCCAAGACAGGGCAGCCCACCAAAACTCACGGACCAGGTAAGGAGGGCATTAATAAGAGAGGCAATAAAGAGACCAAAGATAACCCTGAAGGAGCTGCAAAGCTCCACAGCGGAGATTGGAGTATCTGTCCATAGGACCACTTTAAGCCGTACAATCCACAGAGCTGGGCTTTACGGAAGAGTGGCCAGAAAAAAGCCATTGCTTCAAGAAATAAATAAGAAAACACGTTTGGTGTTCGCCAAAAGGCATGTGGGAGACTCCCCAAACATATGGAAGAAGGTACTCTGGTCAGATGAGACTAAAATTGATTTTTTTGGCCATCAAGGAAAACACTATGTCTGGCGCAAACCCAACACCTCTCATCATCCCGAGAACACCATCCCCAGAGTGAAGCATGGTGGTGGCAGCATCATGCTGTGGGGATGTTTTTCCATCGGCAGGGACTGGGAAATTGGTCAGAATTGAAGGAATGATGGATGGCGCTAAATAAAGGGTAATTCTTGAGGGAAACCAGTTTCAGTCTTCCAGAGATTTGAGACTGGGACGGAGGTTCACCTTCCAGCAGGACAATGACCTTAAGCATACTTCTAAAGCAACACTCAAGTGTTTTAAGGGGAAACATTTAAATGTCTTGGAATGGCCTAGTCAAAGCCCAGACCTCAATCCAATTGAGAATCTATGTTATGACTTAAAGATTGCTGTACACCAGCGGAACCAATCCAACTTGAAGGAGCTGGAGCAGTTTTGCCTTGAAGAATGGGCAAAAATCCCAGTGGCTAGATCTGCCAAGCTTATAGAGACATACCCCAAGAGTCTTGCAGCTGTAATTGCTGCAAAAGGTGGCTCTACAAAGTATTGACTTTGGGGTGCCACTTGTTTCACAAGAAAAAATATTTTGAATCTTCAAAGTGGTAAGCATGTTGTGTAAATCAAATGATACAAACCCCCCAAAAATCTATTTTAATTCCAGGTTGTAAGGCAACAAAATAAGAAAAATGCCAAGGGGGGTGAATACTTTCGCAAGCCACTGTAGGTGCAATCTTACTAGCAGCAATATCCTTGCCTGTGAAGCCCTTTTTGTACAAAGCAATGATAACGGCACGTGTTTCCTTGCAGGTAACCATGGTTAACTGAGGAAGAACAATGATTTCAAGCACCACCATCCTTTTAAAGCTTCCAGTCTGTTATTCTAACTCAATCAGCATGACAGAGTGATCTCCAGCCTTGTCCTCGTCAACACTCTCACCTGTGTTAATGAGAGAATCACTGACATAATGTCAGCTGGTCCTTTTGTGGCAGGGCTGAAATGCAGTGGAAATGTTTCTTTGGGATTAAGCTCATTTTCATGGCAGAGGGACTTTGCAATTAATTGCAATTCATCTGATCACTCTTCATAACATTGTGGAGTATATAAAAATTGCCATCATAAAAACAGAGGCAGCAGACTGTGAAAATTAATGTGTTATTCTCAAAACTTTTGACCATGACTGTACTGCTATATTCAGTTTAATATCTAATTATTAGTGTGCATGTAAACGTGCTCACTGTAGCAATACCACAACATCTCTACCTACCACTATCACATATATGAGAAAACAGTCAACGAGAACAGAAGGCCCTGTGTCTGGAAAGTAATGGACACCTTCTTCTACATTTCAAATTGACCCAATAGAAGGGGATGAGAGGACTGAGCAGCAATGTTGAGCAGTCTACTGTAAATGCACCTTCTTTTTCTTGGGCTTCTCAAACTCCTTGTCCTCACAGTCTGGTTCGTCCATGACGAAGGATAGCATCTGATTGGCCACTGGGGCTTCTTGGCCTGAGTGGGAGGATTCATCCCCTCCCTTCTTCTTGCCTGCCCGCATGGACTGCACTGGGGCTGGTGTCGGGTTCAGGAATGAGACAGGCTCAGACGACATCTTTAAGGCGGCTGGTTTCTTGGCTTCTCCGGTCTTGTTTTGAGTCTTCAAAGCATTGGAGGAGGATCTGATCAGAAAGCACAATACAGATCAAAATATTTAAAGATGCATGATAATATCAATAAGTTAACCCTGACCTGTTCACCAGACGTGCTACCTTGCCCTGGACATGCTGTTTCGACACTCTCTCTCCCTCCCTCGCTCTACCGTACCTGCTGTCTCGACCTCTGAATGCTTGGCTATGAAAAATCAACTGACATTTACTCCTGATGTGCTGACCTGTTGCACCCTCTATAACCACTAATTATTATTTGACCCTGCTGGTCATCTATGAACGTTTGAATATCTTGAAGAACAATCTGGCCTTAATGGCCATGTACTCTTATAATCTCCACCCGGCACAGCCAGAAGGGGACTGGCCACCCCTCAGAGCCTGGTTCCTCTCTAGGTTTCTTCAAAGGTTCCTGCCTTTCAAGGGAGTTTTTCCTAACCACAATGCTTCGACATCTTCATTGCTTGCTCTCTACGTTTTGGTGTTCTAGGCTGGGTTTCTGTATAGCACTTTTTGACAACTGCTGATGTAAAAAGGGCTTTATAAATACATTTGATTGATTGAGGTAGGTACCCCTGCTGCGTAGTTATCATTGTTGTTCCAACAGGTTACAATCTCTATTGCCCAATGACTACATCAATCTCTATCACCCAATGACTACATCAATCTCTATCGACCAATGGCTACATCAATCTCTATCGACCAGTGGCTACATAAATCTTTATCGCACAATGACAACATCAATCTCTATCGACCAATGACTACGTCAATCTCTATTGCCCAATGACTACATCAATCTCTATCGCCCAATGACTACATCAATCTCTATCGCACAATGACTACATCAATCTCTATCGCACAATGACTACATCAATCTCTATCCACATAGTGTATAATACTAGCATCTTAAGAAAAACCTGAGGTCATGCAATTCCTGTTCTCTTCCCACTCATACCTCCTTCTGTCCGATCCACCGTCCTGGATGACATTAAGTGCCTTCGTCCCCTCGTCCTCTTCATCGCTGGTCAAGGTGATGCCCATGCTGGGGACGGCGGCTGCCTTGGGCACAGACTTGGGCACAGACTGGCACAGCTCATCTGGGGCAAAATCGTCCTGGAACCCTGACACCATGGGGTTCCCCCCTCGGCCCTCACCGTCACTGTAAAACATGGACAGAGAGAGAAGTGGTAAGTTCTGATGTCCTGATGTAAGAATAACCAACACAATCACACAAACCAGTCAAAACCAGGGCCAGGTCGGGTCAGTCATTTTCAGCGGATTGTGGTATCCCGAGTAGCGCAGTGGTCTAAGGCACTGCATCTCAGTGCTTGAGGCGTCACTACAGACCCCCTGGTTCGATTCCAGGCTGTATCACAACCGGCTGTGATTGGGAGTCCCATAGGGCGGCGCACAATTGGCCCAGCGTCGTCCGGGTTTGGCCGGTGTAGGCCGTCATTGTAAATAAGAATTTGTTCTTAACTGACTTGGCTAGTTAAATAAAGGTACAATTTTAAAAAACATGAAACTACGTGTGGAAAAGTTACGCTATTTGAGCAATATGATTGGCCGTTTTATCAAGCACCACAAAACATTTAAATAACTTACATTTAAAAAACAAATCGGTACGCGTTTGAGTAATGATACCCCACTAAGCAACACCTGGTGGAAATGTCCAACCATTTGAAATGTATTTACAAATGCAGGACTTTGAAGCTATTCTTGTTTAGTCTGATGTCGTAACCATAAAAAAAAAAAAAAATTATTAATGTTGTTTGTGACACCTGTAGAATTGTCCTTTTGACCTTCAGTTAGAATTGTGTTAACGAATGTAGCATATGAGCTAAATAACATGTAGACCTTTAACATGGTTAACATCGGTAACGTTGCTAATGTGAGTATTTCATCAGCGCTAGGACAGAAGGTGCAGCTATAGGCTCCCCACTACTATCGCTTTGGTTCCATTACTTAAATCAACAGTGACTAAATCATGACTTTATTGCATTATCTGTTCATTTCAATTATTATTACATCATCCAGTTCTAGCCTACTGGGATGTCATCGAAAAGTCATTACATTAACGATAACTTATTTCACCATTATCTACACACTTACTTCATTATCTGATGCTACGCTCCATTAAAATCTTCACCAGAGTGATAGTTGAAGAAGGCAGCCCTGAAGACTGATTCAGTGAAAGAGAGTTGGTTTTTTATTAGCAATAAGCTATTGTGTGGCTGTGTGTGTGTGTGTGTGTGTGTGTGTGGGGCTCACATCCACTCTTCACTTCTCCTTTTAAGTTAACCTTCTAAGTTCACCATTTTAAGTTTAAAGTACATCAAAGAACTTCAAGCCTCATTTCCCATTTTCCAAAATGGCAGACGGCCCTTGTAGGACAATTCTCTCCTTCAAATTCAAGCTCAAGTTGATTCCCTTCATTATACAACGCAGGAATCTGACAGATTCTTTATCATTAGCTCTCTTCACATTTCTATAATGTAAGACTGTATTAAGGGGCAATCCGCAGTTTAGATGTACATTAACAAAGCGTTTTTCCCGCCACTGTTTCAGTAATAAGCTGAGGGATGGGGCTAGAGAAATGTAAACACTCTCAAATTCATAGACAGAGCTATGCATCCAAGGACTGACCATGCTATCAAAATCATAGTGTCAACCATGTTTTGAAGCTATACAGTGTTTGTTTACATTTACTTTGTTTACAAACATTGGAGGAAAACAAGCTTATATTTTGGGTTCTGATGGTGTATGAATGTTGAACTAAGGTGATGAGGCATTTATAAGGTAACATTCTTCAAGAATCAATGGGTACATATCATTATTTTATGTAGCAACTGCAGATTGCCCCTTTAAGTCTTATCCAATAAAAGGAAGTGCCTTCTCTCTCCCCATCCCGCTTTCTCTCTCTCTAGCAAATGAGTGATGAATGACCTGGATTCTGAGCAGAGGAGACCTGACGGAATAAAACCCTCACCTCTCAGCCCTCTCTCCTCCCCTCATCCTCCACCCACCAAGCACATTCAAGGAAAATGTCTCAATTTTTCTACATAATTTTCATCATCTGCAGCACCACCCCAACATCAACTTACAGTGGGGAAAAAAAGTATTTAGTCAGCCACCAATTGTGCAAGTTATCCCACTTAAAAAGATGAGAGAGGCCTGTAATTTTCATCATAGGTACACGTCAACTATGACAGACAAAATGAGAAAAAAAAATCCAGAAAATCACATTGTAGGATTTTTAATGAATTTATTTGCAAATTATGGTGGAAAATAAGTATTTGGTCAATAATAAAAGTTTCTCAATACTTTGTTGGCAATGACACAGGTCAAACGTTTTCTGTAAGTCTTCACAAGGTTTTCACACACTGTTGCTGGTATTTTGGCCCATTCCTCCATGCAGATCTCCTCTAGAGCAGTGATGTTTTGGGGCTGTCGCTGGGCAACACAGGACTTTCAACTCCCTCCAAAGATTTTCTATGGGGTTGAGATCTGGAGACTGGCTAGGCCACTCCAGGACCTTGAAATGCTTCTTACGAAACCACTCCTCCGTTGCCCGGGCAGTGTGTTTGGGATCATTGTCATGCTGAAAGACCCAGCCACGTTTCATCTTCAATGCCCTTGCTGATGGAAGGAGGTTTTCACTCAAAATCTCACGATACATGGCCCCATTCATTCTTTCCTTTACACAGATCAGTCGTCCTGGTCCCTTTGCAGAAAAACAGCCCCAAAGCATGATGTTTCCACCCCCATGCTTCACAGTAGGTATGGTGTTCTTTGGATGCAACTCAGCATTCTTTGTCCTCCAAACACAACGAGTTGAGTTTTTACAAAAAAGTTATATTTTGGTTTCATCTGACATTCTCCCAATCCTCTTCTGGATCAACCAAATGCACTCTAGCAAACTTCAGACGGGCCTGGACATGTACTGGCTTAAGCAGGGGGACACGTCTGGCACTGCAGGATTTGAGTCCCTGGCGGCGTAGTGTGTTACTGATGGTAGGCTTTGTTACTTTGGTCCCAGCTCTCTGCAGGTCATTCACTAGGTCCCCCTGTGTGGTTCTGGGATTTTTGCTCACCGTTCTTGTGATCATTTTGACCCCACGGGGTGAGATCTTGTGTGGAGCCCCAGATCGAGGGAGATTATCAGTGGTCTTGTATGTCTTCCATTTCCTAATAATTGCTCCCACAGTTGATTTCTTCAAACCAAGCTGCTTACCTATTGCAGATTCAGTCTTCCCAGCCTGGTGCAGGTCTACAATTTTGTTTCTGGTGTCCTTTGACAGCTCTTTGGTCTTGGCCATAGTGGAGTTTGGAGTGTGACTGTTTGAGGTTGTGGACAGGTGTATTTTATACTGATAACCAGTTCAAACAGGTGCCATTAATACAGGTAACGAGTGGAGGACAGAGGAGCCTCTTAAAGAAGAAGTTACAGGTCTGTGAGAGCCAGAAATCTTGCTTGTTTGTAGGTGAGCAAATACTTATTTTCCACCATAATTTGCTAATAAATTCATTAAAAATCCTACAATGTGATTTTCTGGAGAAAAAAAATCTCAATTTGTCTGTCATAGTTGACATGTACCTATGATGAAAATTACAGGCCTCTCTCATCTTTTTAAGCGGGAGAACTTGCACAATTGGTGGCTGACTAAATACTTTTTTTCCCCACTGTATGTGAAAAAGGTGCGTTTCTATGTTTCCAATGTCACCATCAACCAATTAGTAGACAATAACTAATAATTGGTTAAAATCACATGATGCAACCATTATCTTCCTCTATCTTTTCTTTACTACAAAACATAGAAACGCGCAATTTTCACATATGTTGATGTTGGGGTGGTGCTAGAGACGATGAAGTTGACATTGAAATGTCCCTTTTAAATAGAGCTGAAACACAAATACATTCACCTCCACTATATTGAAGAACATATTGACTGTGGGTGTCTGAACTGCACAGCAGCGGTAGATCTTCACTAAACAACGATCATTGGAAACGTGTTCTAGTACACAGGGAGAGTTATGCATGATCTTGTTCCAGTTGCTCTCCAGGTGGAGGGTTGGCCATCCTATCAAAATAGTCTAAATATTGAAAAAGTCACTATTTCCACACTTACCTGCATACCTATCCAAAGCCACAAGCCTCGGACATAGGTCATAGAAGACAATGGAGATGATTGGGGTGTGAGGACCAACCTACCTGTCACTGTCCATGTTGCCTGCTTTTCGAGCTTTCTCCTTGGCTTTGGCAGCGGCCCCCTCCTCCAGGAAGCTACGGCCCATGCCCACGTCGGGCACAAAGTCATCCACATTCCGCACCTTCTCGCCTGGGCCATCTGAGGAGAGAAGAGTGGGAGAGGAAGGATGATAATGGGTGGTACGGATACCAGAACTGGCTTCAAACAGTATTTGTTTTCTTTCAAAACGCTTGATTGGCATAGTGCTAGTTTGTGATGTGAATGAGAATTCAATGAAAAACCATTTACTTTTACTCTTGCTGCTGTCTCTTTATTTCAAACCTGTCATTTTCAATTACTGCAATAAACAGAAATGGAAATGAAAAAGATCATCCTCTATCCCGAAGGATTTCACGTCGGTTAATGTGTATGACTGTGGATTCAATCACATTATGCCAAAGAGATCACTTTTGAAATGGCTTCCTACTACCTTTGGTCGGCGTGATTCATTAGGAGGCTGGTTGCTATTTTGAGTTTATAGACATTAACCAGGTTTCCATCCAGTGAAGTACACGACAGGCCTGATGGAAACAGCAAATTTGTCTGTAAACTTTCCAAATGTCGACAAAACAAATTACGCTAGACAAGGTGGGATGTTCTTGTGTCAGTAAAATGAAATTGTGCGAGAAATGGAGGTGGAAACGCTTTTATGCGCAAATATTGATATAATAACCATCATGCCAAAATAAACTTAAGAGTCACGCGATGACATGGTGTGTGGTCCTCCCACTACGACTTGGCAAATGATGCAGTCTATTATGCTACAGATTAAATACATTATGAACCACAGGGTGGTGAAAGTGCACGGTGATGAGCTTGATGCTCCTTTCCAATAAATATCGAGGGTCTTACTCTGGTGACAAGATGTTCAATGCTTGGATGCCGTTTGACAAAAAAAAATAATATCGCTCTTTTGTCCATAACAATCTCATCATGTAGGTAGGCTAGTGCCGCGTTCACATGCTATCGGAGTTATCTGAAGCTCCTAGTTCCCAGTGGGAAATGTCACTTGAATGACCCTCCAAGTCATAATTACAAGTGGGAAACTCAGAGAAAATGTTTTTGCCCGAGTTGTGACGTTTCACCACTGACCTTTTCAACCAAAAGATTTAAACAAATAAATATTTTATAATTACAACCTTATCAATATGGATAATGTAGCTAGTCTAACCATTTGTCATTGTTAAGCAAGCTAACTAACTTTATTACTAGCAATGTTTGCACGCTTATCAAGCTATCTAAAATCGTACTGGTTGAAGAATTGTTCCGACTTCACAATCATGTCAGACTTACCACTTCCTAGGTCCCAGTTTCCTATTTCCCACGAGCACGTGAAGCCAGCATATACCCGCACTGTATCTGCAAGCTGTTGGCTAAAGCGCACATGCCAATACCAGAGTGGGCACATTCGCTATATAAATGCAACAAATGTTACAAAACCATCAGTAGAGTTGAAAATGCAATGGAAACCAATTTAACTTGTATTTTTTATTCGGTACATGGGAATTTAAAAGTTATTTTTATGTGCACTACGTCATGCACAGCCTTTTATCCGCAACAAGTCAATTTGATGGAAACATCTCTGGCGGGAAAATGCGCAGATTGTTTTTATGCAGATTTTAGAATAGTCACCAATTGGATAGAAACCTAGCTAGTGATGGAAACCTAGTTAGTGATGGAAACCTAGCTAGTGATGGAAACCTAGTTAGTGATGGAAAAAACATTAAGAAAACATTTTCCTGAACTGGCAATTCAGCCTGAATGTATGTACAGTGAGGGAAAAAAGTATTTGATCCCCTGCTGATTTTGTACGTTTGCCCACTGACAAAGACATGATCAGTCTATAAGTTTAATGGTAGGCTTATTTGAACAGTGAGAGACAGAATAACAACAAAAAAATCCAGAAAAACGCATGTCAAAAATGTTATAAATTGATTTGCATTTTAATGAGCGAAATAAGTATTTGACCCCTCTGCAAAACATGACTTAGTACTTAGTACTGCAAAACCCTTGTTGGCAATCACAGAGGTCAGACGTTTCTTGTAGTTGGCCACCAGGGTTGCACACATCTCAGGAGGGATTTTGTCCCACTCCTCTTTGCAGATCTTCTCCAAGTCATTAAGGTTTCGAGGCTGACGTTTGGCAACTCAAACCTTCAGCTCCCTCCACATATTTTCTATGGGATTAAGGTCTGGAGACTGGCTAGGCCACTCCAGGACCTTAATGTGCTTCCTCTTGAGCCACTCTTTGTTGCCTTGGCCGTGTGTTTTGGGTCATTGTCATGCTGGAATACCCATTTACGACCCATTTTCAATGCCCTGGCTGAGGGAAGGAGGTTCTCACCCAAGATTTGACGGTACATGGCCCCGTCCATCGTCCCTTTGATACGGTGAAGTTGTCCTGTCCCCTTAGCAGAAAAACACCCCCAAAGCATAATGTTTCCACCTCCATGTTTGATGTTGGGATGGTGCCAGTCTCCCGAGTGGCGCAGTGGTCTAAGGCACTGCATCGCAGTGCTAGCTGTGCCACTAGAGATCCTGGTTTGAATCCAGGCTCTGTCGTAGCCGGACGTGACCGGGAGACCCATGGGGCGGCGCACAATTGGCCCAGCGTCGTCCAAGGTAGGGGAGGGAATGGCCGGCAGGGATGTAGCTCAGTTGGTAGAGCATGGCGTTTGCAAAGCCAGGGTTGTGGGTTCGATTCCCACGGGGGGCCAGTATGAAAAAAAATATATATATAATAATCATGTATGCACTCACTAAATGTAAGTCGCTCTGGATAAGAGCGTCTGCTAAATGACGTAAATGTAAAATGTAATGTGTTCTTGGGGTCATAGGCAGCATTCCTCCTCCTCCAAACACGGCGAGTTGAGTTGATGCCAAAGAGCTTGATTTTGGTCTTATCTGACCACAACACTTTCACCCAGTTCTCCTCTAAATCATTCAGATGTTCATTGGCAAACTTCAGACGGGCCTGTATATGTGCTTTCTTGAGCAGGGGGACCTTGCGGGCACTGCAGGATTTCAGTCCTTCCCGGCGTAGTGTGTTACCAGTTGTTTTCTTGGTGACTATGGTCCAAGCTGCCTTGAGATCATTGACAAGATCCTCCTGTGTAGTTCTAGGCTGATTCCTCACCGTTCTCATGATCATTTTAACTCCACGAGGTGAGATCTTGCATAGAGCCCCAGGCCGAGGGAGATTGACAGTTATTTTGTGTTTCTTCCATTTGCGAATAATCGCACCAACTGTTGTCACCTTCTCACCAAGCTGCTTGGCGATGGTCTTGTAGCCCATTCCAGCCTTGTGTAGGTCTACAATCTTGTCCCTGACATCCTTGGAGAGCTCTTTGGTCTTGGCCATGGTGGAGAGTTTGGAATCTGATTGATTGATTGCTTCTGTGGACAGGTGTCTTTTGTACAGGTAACAAACTGAGATTAGGAGCACTCCCTTTAAGAGTGTGCTCCTAATCTCAGCCCGTTACCTGTATAAAAGACACCTGGGAGCCAGAAATCTTTCTGATTGAGAGGGGGTTAAATACTTATTTCCCTCATTAAAATGCAAATAAATTTATAACATTTTTTACATGCATTTTTCTGGATTTTTTTGTTGTTATTCTGTCTCTCACTGTTCAAATAAACCTACCATTAAATATATAGATTGATCATTTCTTTGTCAGTGGGCAAACGTACAAAATCAGCAGGGGATCAAATACTTTAGATTTTCCCATGATGTCAAGCAAAGAGGCACTGAGTTTGAAGGTAGGCCTTGAGATCCATCCACAGGTACACCTCCAATTGACTCAAATGATGTCAATTAGCCTATCAGAAGCTTCTAAAGCCATGACATCATTTTCTGGAATTTTCCAAGCTGTTTAAAGGCACAGTCAACTTAGTGTATGTAAACTTCTGACCCACTGGAATTGTGATTACTTGTGTCATGCACAAAACTACGTGTGTCATGCACAAAGTAGATTTCCTAGCCGACTTGCCAAAATTATAGTTTGTTAACAAGAAATGTGTGGAGTGGTTGAAAAAAGAGTTTTAATGACTCCAACCTAAGTGTAAGTAAACTTCCGACTTCAACTGTACGTCTAAATGCGTCTGACTGACTGTGTGCATATTTTGTATGTGTGTTTAATGTGTGTCTGTGTGCTGCCAACCACAGCTGGAGGGGGGCAGAGCCAACCACAGCAGGAGGAGTGCAGAGCCAACCACAGCAGGAGGGGAGCAGAGCCAACCACAGCAGGAGGGGGGCAGAGCCAACCACAGCAGGAGGGGAGCAGAGCCAACCACAGCAGGAGGGGGGCAGAGGCAACCACAGCAGGAGGGATGCAGAGCCAACCACAGCAGGAGGGGGGCAGAGGCAACCACAGCTGGAGGGGGGCAGAGCCAACCACAGCAGGAGGGGGGCAGAGGCAACCACAGCTGGAGGGGGGCAGAGCCAACCACAGCAGGAGGGGGGCAGAGGCAACCACAGCTGGAGGGAGGCAGAGCCAACCACAGCAGGAGGGGAGCAGAGCCAACCACAGCAGGAGGAGTGCAGAGGCAACCACAGCAGGAGGGAGGCAGAGGCAACCACAGCAGGAGGAGTGCAGAGGCAACCACAGCAGGAGGAGTACAGAGCCAACCACAGCAGGAGGGAGGCAGAGGCAACCACAGCAGGAGGGAGGCAGAGCCAACCACAGCAGGAGGGAGGCAGAGGCAACCACAGCAGGAGGGGGGCAGAGGCAACCACAGCAGGAGGGAGGCAGAGGCAACCACAGCAGGAGGAGTGCAGAGCCAACCACAGCAGGAGGAGTGCAGAGCCAACCACAGCAGGAGGGGGGCAGAGGCAACCACAGCAGGAGGGTTGCAGAGGCAACCACAGCAGGAGGGGGGCAGAGGCAACCACAGCAGGAGGGAGGCAGAGCCAACCACAGCAGGAGGAGTGCAGAGCCAACCACAGCAGGAGGGGTGCAGAGCCAACCACAGCAGGAGGAGTGCAGAGCCAACCACAGCAGGAGGAGTGAAGAGCCAACCACAGCAGGAGGGGTGCAGAGCCAACCACAGCAGGAGGAGTGCAGAGGCAACCACAGCAGGAGGGGGGCAGAGGCAACCACAGCAGGAGGAGTGCAGAGGCAACCACAGCAGGAGGGTTGCAGAGGCAACCACAGCAGGAGGAGGGCAGAGGCAACCACAGCAGGAGGGTTGCAGAGGCAACCACAGCAGGAGGAGTGCAGAGCCAACCACAGCAGGAGGAGTGCAGAGCCAACCACAGCAGGAGGAGTGCAGAGCCAACCACAGCAGGAGGGTTGCAGAGGCAACCACAGCAGGAGGTTTCCATCACTAGCTAGGTTTCTATCCAATTTCTATATGCACAAAAAGCTTATATCTCTCAAATGTTGTGCACAGATTTGTTTACATCCCTGTTAGTGAGCATTTCTCCTTTACCAAGATAATCCATCCACTTGACAGCTGTGGCATATCAACAAGCTGATTAAACAGCATGATCATTAAACAGGTGCACCTTGTGCTGGGGAAAATAAAAGGCCACTCTAAAATGTGCAGTTTTATCACAACACAATACCACAGATGTCTCAAGTTGAGGCAGTGTGCAATTGGCATGATGACTGCAGGAATTTCCACCAGAGCTGTTGCCAGAGAATGTAATGTTAATTTCTCTACCATAAGCCGCCTCCAACGTCGTTTTAGAGAATTTAGCAGTACGTCCAACCGGCCTCACAACCGCAGACCACATGTAACCACGCCAGCCCAGGACCTCCACATCCGGCTTCTTCACCTGCGGGATCGTCTGAGACCAGCCACCCGGACAACTGATGAAACTGTCAGAAACCGTCTCAGGGAAGCTCATCTGCGTGCTCGTCGTCCTCACCTGGGTCTTGATCTGACTACAGTTCAGCTTCGTAACCGCTTTCAGTGGGCAAATGCTCACCTTCGATGCCTACTGGCATGCTGGAGAAGTGTGCTCTTCACGGATGAATCCCGGTTTCAACTGTACCGGGCAGATGGCAGACAGCATGTATGGTGTCGTCTGGGTGAGCGGTTTGCTGATGTCAACGTTGTGAACAGAGTGCCCCATGGTGGCGGTGGGGTTATGGTATGGGCAGGCATAAGCTTCGGACAACGAACACAATTGCATTTTATCGATGGCAGTTTGAACGCACAGAGGTACAATGACGAGATCCTGAGGCCCATTGTCGTGCCATTCATCCACCGCCATCACCTCATGTTTCAGCATGATAATGCACAGCCCCATGTCGCAAGGATCTGTACACAATTCCCAGAAGCTGAAAATGTCCCATGTCCCTTCCATGGTCTGCACACTCACCAGACTTGTCACCCATTGAGCATAGTTGGGATGCTCTGGATCGACGTGTAAGACAGCGTGTTCCAGTTCCCGCCAATATCCAGCAACTTCGCACAGCCATTGAAGAGGACTGGGACAACATTCCACAGGCCACAATCAACAGCCTGATCAACTCTATGTGAAGGAGATGTGTCGCGCTGCATGAGGCAAATGGTGGTCACACCAGATACTGACTGGTTTTCTGATCCACGCCCCTACTTTTTCTTTTAAGGTATCTGTGACCAACAGATGCATATCTATATTCCCAGTCATGTGAAATCCATAGATTAGGGCCTAATGAATTTATTTCAATTGACTGATTTCCTTATATGAACTGTAACTCAGTAAAATCTTTGAAATTGTTGCATGTTGCGTTTATATTTCTGTTCAGTATAGTTCCAACACTCACCAGCGGGAGTCTCAGGGGTGGCTGATCCAAAGAGGCGTGACATGAATCCTCTCTTCTGGGCAGGGGGGTCCTGGGCGACACTGGGTGACTGGGGGGTCGGGACAGGTGTGGCTCCCCCATGGTGGGGCCCCTGGGGGTTTGGGGGCTGCTGTGGGTAACCTGGACCCCTAGGGAGTGCTGTGTTCTGGAGAGGGGGACAGGGGTTAAGGATAGGGTTGGTGTAGGAGGGGGGGCCCTGAACTGGTCTGGGGGTGGGGTTGGAGATAGTTAGGGGCTGGGGTGGGAGAGGGGGTTGCTGGGGGGTGCAGGGGCTGGGGCAGGCCCCAGGGGTGGAGGGCCCGCTCTGGGGGACGATGGGGGACTGGGAGCCTGAGGAGGGGCTCTGGCCGTTGGAAGGACCACCCGGGGAGCTGAAGCCAGCTTTGTTTCTGGCTTCCATCATCTCCAGGAAACTGGGGAGGTCAAAACGGTGGATCTGATCATGAATACTAACACATCATTGAAATAAACATTTTCACGATAAAGTATTTACAAGGAAATACACAGTGATTTGAATGATCATAATCATCTTTAATATGCTCTTATACATATGCAGTAGCTGATCGCGAGAAACAGATGGGTTATTGGTGTCTGTGTGTGTACTGTATGTGCACCTGCGTTTGTGTGTGTGTGCAACGTCTTCTTGCGTGTGTGTGTGTGTGTGTGTAAGCCTGCCTGCCTGCATACACGTTAGCAAATACCACATCCCATAGTTCTGGTCCTCAGTCTCCTGCTGAACATTGAGCTCCTCCAGAGTAGCGTCTATGTCCAGCTGGTTGGTCTCCAGTTGTCTCAGCAGGGTCTCCCTCTGAGAAAGAGATAGAGGCAAGTCTATCAGTCAAGGAAAGCTGTGGACAGTTAATCAATATAAAACAAAACAGCACCAACAATAACCAACCAATCCAAATGAGCGATGCTCAACCATTTACCACAGACACCACAAAACCAATGGTTTAGCAGAGGGGTGGCCAACCCTCCTACCGGGTCTGCTGGTTTTTGATCCAGCCCTGCTAGAACACACCTGAAGAAACTAAATATCTATTTGAATTGCATAAAGGCCTAAAGAAGGTTTATGTGAATGTACTGTAAATTCTGGATTGTGACTTTATTGTCCTCAAAAGCACCAAATAAATTATGCAAATGTCATATAATTATAGTCATTAATTTGGCCCAGGCATTTGATAGAATGCAGCAAGCTGATGCAACATGTCTTCCTCTATTTCTGTGGTTCTGGACGCATCAACTAACTCTTCTGGACGCATCAACTAACTCTTCTGGACACATCAACTAACTCTTCTGGACGCATCAACTAGCTCTTCTGGACGCATCAACTAGCGCTTCTGGACACATCAACTAACTCTTCTGGACACATCAACTAACTCTTCTGGACACATCAACTAGCTCTTCTGGACGCATCAACTAGCTCTTCTGGACACATCAACTAGCTCTTCTGGACGCATCAACTAGCTCTTCTGGACACATCAACTAGCTCTTCTGGACGCATCAACTACTCTTCTGGACGCATCAACTAGCTCTTCTGGACATCAACTACTCTTCTGGACGCATCACTAGCTCTTCTGGACGCATCAACTAGCTCTTCTGGACACATCAACTAGCTCTTCTGGACGCATCAACTAACTCTTCTGGACGCATCAACTAGCTCTTCTGGACGCATCAACTAGCTCTTCTGGACACATCAACTAGCTCTTCTGGACGCATCAACTAGCTCTTCTGGACGCATCAACTAGCTCTTCTGGACGCATCAACTAGCTCTTCTGGACACATCAACTAGCTCTTCTGGACACATCAACTAACTCTTCTGGACAAATCAACTAGCTCTCCAGTGTTTTCCACTAGCGCCTACTTTATCCACTTAAATTAAAGGTGCACTATGCAGAAATCGCTTCACCATTTCCTGGTTGCTAAAATTCTAATAGTTCACCTAATTTCTGTTTATGTGCCAAAATAAGCAAGTATAGTGTAGAGAATCATAGTACCATCGAAACTGCTGCAAAATATATTTTCCATAACAAACAATATTGTATTTTCAACTGTTTGAAGCTAGTGTACAAAGCCGAAAGTAAGACCAGGAAGCATAGAAATAGCAGACATAGAACAACAGATATACCGCTTCTTAGACATGCTTTCAATAAGAATGACAGATCTATAACTCATATTTCTATGTGAATTTGGTTGGGTCGCTTAAAAGTTACATATTGCAGCTTTAACTAGGCTACTTTTCAATTCGCTAGTCAGAAAAAGTCTGCATAGTCCTCTTCTAGCGATCTATTGATAGGACCAGCGCCTGTCAGTCACAAAGCGAGTGATGACAGGGAAACACTGCTGGTTTGACAGTCTGCTGTCTGTCCTGCCTCTCGGTACCTGTGGGCAGCGTGATTTGTGTGCGCTGTGGTTGGTTGCAGTCAATCACGTTGCAGTCAAACCAACCGTGTGAGTGAATTTCAGGGCTCTACAGTGCGACCATTTCACTCGCATAAACGCCTAAAAATAGATGTGTGCGAACTGGAAAACGTAAGAATGAGCACATGTAATTCTGCCATTTTGTTTCATAGCTGGTAGCTAATCACACAAAGAACCATAGAAATAAGAATTATTTCTTATTTCTATGCAAAGAACTACGTAGAGTTCCATATATCCCACCTTGCGCGCAGCTGGACCGCAGCAACAGTTCCTGGGGTGCTGTGCGCAATGTGAGTGAAGTGCTGAAAGATTCATTTTTAGAAGCACACAAGCATAGAAGTTGGTCTAATTTACCCAAAAGTCTACGAATGTGTGACTTTGTCCTCGTGTTTCTTGGCTATTTACATCGTTTTGTTCACACACTAGATTGTTGTTCACTGTTAGTTTGAGTTTGCTCAACTGCTACTAGCAAAGGGTTGTCAGAGAATCTCATCTCTCAAACAGACATGGGAATCCCACCTCAACCACGGTAAACGCCCGCCGCTTAAAGGGGCAGCTGAACATTTTATTTTATTGAGCATGGAACACCCCAAATACCTTTAATTTATGAACATTTAGTAATTTCTTATCGCAAAAACTCTTCCTCAAATACTTTCTTTGTGATCCTTGTAAAAATGTTTATCGTAGAGCCCTGAATTTGCACGTCCCATGTAATGTACCTAAGTGGTAACGATGAGTCAAAATCCACTTAAGTCTTATTCTTGTTTTCCTGCACATTCATTTATTTTATTTTGCGTGTTTCATATAGCAGCCACATTTCATTTATTTTATTTTGCGTGTTTCATATAGCAGCCACATTTCATTTATTTTATTTTGCGTGTTTCATAAAGCAGCCACATTTCATTTATTTTATTTTGCGTGTTTCATATAGCAGCCACATTTCATTTATTTTATTTTGCGTGTTTCATATAGCAGCCACATTTCATTAATTTTTCAAGATGATGTGGGCCATGGGCTATTTAAAATACATAACTTGAAGAACAAACATCATTGTGGCAATTCATATCTTGCAGTAAACCTGTAAATAAGACTTTAATCTCAAGAGAAGACAGGTTAAATGTTAAAAAAGGTTTAATATTCATTTACTTAGAAAATAGTCCTGATCATATAAGCCTAGACAATATGCAAAACAACTAACAATACACTGAATTCATCCATTTTCATCCATATAAATTGTAAAGTCATGTCCTTCTACACAATACCACAACTACTTTTTCCAATTTGATAGGTAAATTAATTTTGCTGTGTATTTCGGATGGAATCAAGGCATTAGAATGTACCAGAGACAACCAAAATGTAGGTCGTTCGGCAAATGTTTTCGAACCCAAGGCGACAAGCCCGGTGAGGCCAGGCTGGCTACATTTTCTATTAGGCTGGCTACTCCAGGTACTTGTGGAAAACACGGAAAGGCTTTCATGTCAGCGAAACCTCAAACCACTGTCGTGGGACATGGCATTTATCAGGGATGTGTAGTTTTGTGGGAAATGAAGCAGAGAGGCACTCAAGCTCTTAAGAGTTTCCATCCGGAAGGGTTTCACACAGCAATATCTGAGCTAGGCCTATATCTGTAGTTAGCTATTAAGAAATGAAATCCCTTGAGAGAAAGATAGACATTTCTAAAACAACATTTGAAGTTTTGATGTATGCAAGAGATCTGTAGATAATGGAACAACATTTTATTTCCGTGCAGTCTGGTTTTCCTGTAACGGTGAGATGTAGCATTGTTCTACGCTAGTTTAGGCAATTACCTGAGTTCTTCAAAAGTCATGAGGCAACCTTTCCCTTCCATCCTCCTATCCCTTCATCCTACGCTCTTCCCTTTTCTCTCTGATTCCCTCATCCTCCACTCCAGTCTCTCTTTTGCTTCCACCTCCCTCTGAACTTACGGAGAAATAGATCCGTGAATAAGGGAGCGAGAAGCCATACTACCCTGCACTGAAACATTCATGAGATTCAGCCCAGGTGCTCAACCATGCATTTCAGATAGAACAAGACAGGAAGGAAAAGGCTAAAGATGTCAGGTTATCGAGGAAACGTTTGTCCATGTCTATACTAAATTGTGCCTTCCTGTATTATACTTATGCTAATATATTCTATTCTACTGAGCCATTTACTTTGTGTTCGTATTGTTTTATTATTTATTACTGTAGTTGCATTGAGAAGGAACCTGCAAGTAAGCATTCGTTTGGACAGTGTATAACACATGTATCCTGTACATACGACTAATACAACTTGAACGTTCCTTTTCAGCCATAATTAAAACGACAGAAGACGAGAGGATACAGGACTCTGTGCCCCATTGTCAATCTCGCCTTGAATAATGTAACACCACTGAATGAACAATGACTCTGTAAATTTTTAACACCAACCGTGGACAAGGCAGCGTTCGTAAGAGTAAAGTTACAGCGTTGAACCTTACAGCAAGCCAGGGTGTGCAGCATATTTATACCCTACTCTCAAGACATCGATGCACAACACCGAAGCAGAGTCTACAATAGCCAAGTCTGATCATCTCTGACACATACTGGGGTGGTAGTTCATCATTCACTTAAAAATAGTATCGGCTTCTCTTTCCCTGTGTTACTTATTGATGAAGTCAGCATGAATAGAGAGAGGGCTCATGGGTAGAGGGGATGCCATATATGACCAATTGGGCCTCGATGGCGGCCATTTTGTTTTGACTAAACTGCATCTGTAGGAAGCTCGAGGTAGAAGTTGCAGGTCTAAGATTTGACAACCCTTCCCTTCACCTATCCGTAACCATTAAGGTGCTGAAATTTTTTTTTTCTTACATTTTACTCATTTAGCAGACGCGCTTATCCAGAGTGACTTACAGTAGTGAGTGAATACATTTTCATACTTTTTTCCCCCGTGGGAATCGAACCCACAACCCTGGCGTTGCAAGCGCCATGCTCTACCAACTGAGCCAAACGGGACAATCTGACCCTGTATCAGTAATTAGGGGCAACTCGTATATATACAGCTCGAAGGACCAATCTAGGAGAAAAAGGGGGACTTTTCCACATATTCCATAGGAATGTTGAAGCGGCCAATTTGTTTGGACTGACCTGCTGCTGTAAGAAGGGGATGTTGAAGAAGCAGCCATTTTGTTTGGACTGACCTGCAGCTGTAAGAAGGGGATGTTGAAGAAGCAGCCATTTTGTTTGGACTGACCTGAAGCTGTAAGAAGGGGATGTTGAAGAAGCAGCCATTTTGTTTGGACTGACCTGTAGCTGTAAGAAGGGGATGTTGAAGAAGCAGCCATTTTGTTTGGACTGACCTGAAGCTGTAACAAGGGGATGTTGAAGAAGTAGCCATTTAGTTTGGACTGACCTGCAGCTGTAAGAAGGGGATGTTGAAGAAGCAGCCATTTTGTTTGGATTGACCTGTAGCTGTAAGAAGGGGATGTTGAAGATGTAGCAATTTTGTTTGGACTGACCTGTAGCTGTAAGAAGGGGATGTTGAAGAAGCAGCCGTTTTGTTTGGACTGACCTGTAGCTGTAAGAAGGGGATGTTGAAGAAGCAGCCATTTTGTTTGGACTGACCTGTAACTGTAAGAACGGGGTGTTGAAGAAGCAGCCATTTTGTTTGGACTGACCTGAAGCTGTAAGAAGGGGATGTTGAAGAAGCAGTCATTTTGTTTGGACTGACCTGAAGCTGTAAGAAGGGGATGTTGAAGAAGCAGCCATTTTGTTTGGACTGACCTGTAGCTGTAAGAAGGGGATGTTGAAGAAGTAGCCATTTTGTTTGGACTGACCTGTAGCTGTAAGAAGGGGATGTTGAAGAAGCAGCCATTTTGTTTGGACTGACCTGTAACTGTAAGAACGGGGTGTTGAAGAAGCAGCCATTTTGTTTGGACTGACCTGAAGCTGTAAGAAGGGGATGTTGAAGAAGCTGTCATTTTGTTTGGACTGACCTGAAGCTGTAAGAAGGGGATGTTGAAGAAGCAGCCATTTTGTTTGGACTGACCTGGAGCTGTAACAAGGGGATGTTGAAGAAGCAGCCATTTTGTTTGGACTGACCTGAAGCTGTAACAAGGGGATGTTGAAGAAGCAGCCATTTTGTTTGGACTGACCTGAAGCTGTTAGAAGGGGATGTTGAAGAAGCAGCCATTTTGTTTGGACTGACCTGAAGCTGTAAGAAGGGGATGTTGAAGAAGCGGTGCAGGTACTTGAGGCCAAAGCCGTTCTTCATGGAAGATTCAGCGTAGTGGATGTAAGAAGAACCTGGAGGCCTGAAACACAAAGCAGGTAGAGGACATATCAGGACCAGTGGTGTAGCGGAGGGTAAACACAAGTAACAAAGCTCACACACCTTTTGCAGAAAAATGCATTGAAAGTATAGGGAGCCAGTTTACCCACCAATTTTTTCACCACTACATCGCTGATCAGGACTGTGTTTCATGAAGACTATTGACAAAGACTAACAAAGCTAGAGATTTCAACATGCTTAGTTCAGGATGCTTAGTTCAGGAGTTACAGTGCAAAACTCCCTTAAAAGTGGCCCTTCGAGACAGATATTTCTGCATGTGAGTGATGTAGCACCCTGTAGATAGTGGAGGGTAGAGAGTTTTGCACACTTTTACCATTGGAGAAGAAAACACTAGGAAGTGGTACATTCCTGCAAAGCATTGACCATCACAACTCCTTGAGAGTAACAGAATGGGTCAACTGAATGTACCCCGCGGCCGTAGTGGCGCCCCCTACCTGTTGAGGTGACAGAGGAACTCTCGGGTGTCGTCGGGCAGGATGACCCGGTGTTCGCCCATGTCCCTCTGGTTGCCCAGCACACAGATGGGCACGTGGGTGGGCACTTTGGGCAGCTCCCGCACGATGTAGTCAAATGTCCTGTGAAATAGACCCATGACTTGAGCGCAAAATATAAGCTAGAGGGAAGAATGAAAGGGTATTGTAGTAGGTTACTTGTTAATAAATATACAAATTAAGGAGAGATTCAAAAACACTCAGACTTTAGATTTTTTTTTAATGCATAGGAAGAGGGTGATCGTGTCTCAATAACTGACTAACTATAATGTCAATCTTGTGTAGTTCTTCAATATACAAATTATATTAGTAAAGGTGGGATATCTACAGATGCAAAACTGGGAACCTTTTATTTTTCTCATCAAGAGCAAAAAAGTAAATTAGTGAACTGAAATACGATATCTCGTCAAACCACTGACAGCTAGCTGCACAATAACTCCTAAAACAAGCCTTGGTCGAAGTAATTCACAAAGACTCAACTGGAGGTGGGTTATCAAGTTCTGGCTCTTCAAACAGACACTCCTAATAATCGGAGATACTTTTTTTCCAGATCTGTGCACGTCTTTGTGACCTGGGTCAGATAGTCGTACCACTGGCTGTCACACACTGACCTGGGTCAGACAGTCATACCACTGGCTGTCACACACTGACCTGGGTCAGACAGTCGTACCACTGGCTGTCACACACTGACCTGGGTCAGACAGTCATACCACTGGCTGTCACACACTGACCTGGGTCAGACAGTCGTACCACTGGCTGTCACACACTGACCTGGGTCAGACAGTCGCACCACTGGCTGTCACACACTGACCTGGGTCAGACAGTCGTACCACTGGCTGTCACACACTGACCTGGGTCAGACAGTCGTACCACTGGCTGTCACACACTGACCTGGGTCAGACAGTTCTACCACTGGCTGTCACACACTGACCTGGGTCAGACAGTCGTACCACTGGCTTTCACACACTGACCTGGGTCAGACAGTCGTACCACTGGCTTTCACACACTGACCTGGGTCAGACAGTCGTACCACTGGCTGTCACACACTGACCTGGGTCAGACAGTCGTACCACTGGCTGTCACACTGACCTGGGTCAGATCGTACCACTGGCTGTCACACTGACCTGGGTCAGACAGTTCTACCACTGGCTGTCACACTGACCTGGGTCAGACAGTCGTACCACTGGCTGTCACACACTGACCTGGGTTAGACAGTCGTACCACTGGCTGTCACACACTGACCTGGGTCAGACAGTCGCACCACTGGCAGTCACACTGACCTGGGTCAGATCGTACCACTGGCTGTCACACTGACCTGGGTCAGACAGTTCTACCACTGGCTGTCACATTGACCTGGGTCAGATCGTACCACTGGCTGTCACACTGACCTGGGTCAGACAGTCGTACCACTGGCTGTCACACTGACCTGGGTCAGACAGTCGTACCACTGGCTGTCACACACTGACCTGGGTCAGACAGTTCTACCACTGGCTGTCACACACTGACCTGGGTCAGACAGTTCTACCACTGGCTGTCACACACTGACCTGGGTCAGACAGTCGTACCATTGGCTGTCACACACTGACCTGGGTCAGACAGTCGTACCACTGGCTTTCACACACTGACCTGGGTCAGACAGTCGTACCACTGGCTTTCACACACTGACCTGGGTCAGACAGTCGTACCACTGGCTGTCACACACTGACCTGGGTCAGACAGTCGTACCACTGGCTGTCACACTGACCTGGGTCAGACAGTTCTACCACTGGCTGTCACACTGACCTGGGTCAGACAGTTCTACCACTGGCTGTCACATTGACCTGGGTCAGATCGTACCACTGGCTGTCACACTGACCTGGGTCAGACAGTCGTACCACTGGCTGTCACACTGACCTGGGTCAGACAGTCGTACCACTGGCTGTCACACACTGACCTGGGTCAGACAGTCGTACCACTGGCTGTCACACACTGACCTAGATATAATTGGATTCTTGACTGTCTAGTTGCTCTGTAGCCCAAGTAATTTTACATGATGTGTATTGTGAAGGAGAAACAGAAGAAAGTCAGACAGGGAGAAAGAGAGGGATCTATAGAAGGTAAAAGCAGAAAGAGGACAGGAGAGAGATAAAGAGAAAGAGAGACAGAGAGGCTCACCATTGTTTGGTGATGTCGAACATCATGATGACTCCATTACAGTTCTTGTACACATCCAGGAACTCTGCATCCAGAGCCATCTCAGTCTCATTCTAGTAACACAACAGAGGAGAAAACCATCCTCCATTAGGCCTTAATTCATTGATATCCAGACCTATGCATTCGGAAAGTATTCAGACCCCTTGACTTTCTCCACATTTTGTTACGTTACAGCCTTATTCTAAAATGGTTTACATTTGTTTTTTCCCCTCATCAATTTACACACAATACTCCATAATGACAAAGCAAAAACAGTTTTTCAGAAATGTTTGCAAATTTATAAAAAAATAAAAAATTGAAATATCACAATTACATAAGTATTCAGACCCTTTACTCAGTACTTTGTTGAAGCACCTTTGGCAGCGATTACAGCCTCGAGTCTTCTTGGGTATGATGCTACAAGCTTGGCACACCTATATTTGTGGAGTTTCTCCCAGTCTTCTCAAGCTCTGTCAGGTTGGATGGGGAGCGTTGCTGCACAGCTATTTTCAGGTCTCTCCAGAGATGTTCGATCGGGTCCTGAAGCCAATCTTGCATTGTCTTGGCTGTGTGTTTAGTGTCGTTGTCCTGTTGGAAGGTGAACCTTCGCCACAGTCTGAGGTCCTGAGCGTTCTGGAGGAGGTTTTCATCAAGGATCTTTCTGTACTTTACTCTGTTCATCTTTCCCTCGATCCTGACTAGTCTCCCAGTCCCTGCCACCACCATGCTTCACTGTAGGGATGGTGCCAGGTTTCCTCCAGACGTGACGCTTGCCATTCAGGCCAAAGAGTTCAATCTTGGTTTCATCAGACCAGAGAATCTTGTTTCTCATGGTCTGAGAGTCCTTCAGGTGCCTTTTGGCAAACTCCAAGCGTTGCGTCGTGCTTAAGAACAGCCCTTAGCCGTGGTATATTGGCCATATACCACACCCCTTTGTGCCTTTTTGCTTAAATATATTATATAAGGTATTAATTAAGTAAAAGGACACAGTTGACATGGCTAGGGAGATAACACTTTAAGGTCTGTTATGAGCGCTCTTCAAGCAGGGATTCTCTTTGGGATGTATTTTAAAAGACAAGGTAAGAAATTAAGGTCATTTGTTATTGATGATTAACAATAATATGGGACTTACCTCCTGGGGTTCATTCTCAGTTTTCAGCATTTCTCCTCGCTTCTTGCCTTTCCCTGCAGTAGTTGGGAAAACAGGAGATTACAATTAGCGAGGCAGAAAAGCAATTAAGGAGAGGCACTTACCGTGGTTTGACACAGAGGACGTATAGCATACCAAAATGCATAAGAGGAAAGACAGCACACACTTCAAGTAGCAGTGGGTAACTGTATGCTAAAATATTTAGGCCTATGTGCAAATCAATTCCATGTGTCTAACATATTGATAATTTATCAATATGGGCATTTGCTCAACCACAACGGCAAGCAAGTTATATTCAAGTAATATTTTCTCCAGATTTATTGTGATGCAGAGAAACTTAAAATAGTTTCTTAATGTTTTTCATTCAGCTGACATTGTGTTTGGCAGAAAGAGGCTGTCCCACCCGAATCATGAAGTCTATTTATAGTGTGTTGTGTTTCTCTATTTGTATGCGGACTTCACAAAATGAATTTCCATGTAAATGGACAATAAAGTATATATAGTATTTATAATCAAGATGAGAGAAAAGCAGGTCATGTTATTTCAAAATGGCACCTAACAAATGCAGCTCTCTGCTGTGTTCACTACCTGTCATTTGAGGAGAAATGTCAAAACAAAGTCATGAATCTACTAACAGCACTATTACAATATAAATACTATCCATCAACAGTCTACATTAAAGGTAAACTCAGCAACATGACATACACAGCGGGTGTCTTCCTGATTACATTTATCAACAACCACATCATTTAAATCTGTCAAGACTTATCTCTTCAATTGGTGCCCTCCGTTGAGACAATAGCGACAGTAATCTTGGCAGATTTGGTTGTTGTTCATTTCTGTAAGCACGAAGTTGCCCTGCTATGTACAGTGATGTTGTCATATCTACTGGTCTAACTTTAATGTTATCACCACTATTCTACCACATAGGCCTTCTAATCCCAACCTTTCAGAGTCACTTCATGGTCCAGTCATCTTCATTTAGGCTACTTATCACCAAACCACTGAAGGTTTTTTTGCTTGTTTTTAACAATAGAACAAAACCCTTGGCCATGGCTACAACGTGGCTACACACAGCACTCCATATATATATAGCCCAGCCTATGTTTCCAGAAAGCACAGCACACCGGACAAGATGTCAAAGTCACTGCAAGGGCTGATTCCTACTTGAGATACACGAGTGCAACTAAATAAACCACACATTGATATCAATAATAGATTGACATAAATGGGAGATTTCCACAAAAGTGGAAGTTTTGTTGTAGATCTCAGGTTAGGATTCAGTCCTAGCTGCACAGGTAGTCTAGACAAGTTCCCAATACCACAGTCTAGGCTACCTCTCACCTAAGCCCTCGAGGGGAGGCTTTTGTCCTACAGGGGCAACAGGAGGTGAAAAATGCATGAGAAAACACAAACATGAATGACAAAATTTTAATCTGGAAATGTTTTTTAGTTAGTTGAAATTACAGATTTAAAAGACGGACAGACAGACAGACGTAAAACAATATGGCAGTGTTATGGCTTAAATTATGTCAGTGTATTTGTAACAGATTGACTGTCAACTAGCATTCCATGGAATTCAATGCGAACAAAACTACAGATTGTACCGTTTTTTTAAATGAATACCTCATTTTGTTGAACGTGTGTTTTACATTCAACAGGAACACTTTAGTAAGCTTTCTTTAAATAAGCGGTTGGCCAAACGTAAACACACCTCTGCAGAGAGGCAATGTGGGCAAAGGCTTTTGTTCTAACCAAGCACTGCAGTAACACCAGATCAAGTTAATCTAAAATGAAAACTATAATTAGTAGATTCATTGAATTAGAAGTGTTACTACTTGTCTGGAACAAAAGCCTGCACCCAGTCCGGCCTACTGTAGATGACATTGGTCACTTTTGCTTTACAGCAAATCACATTGAGCAACACTGTAGGCTCACCTTTGTCCACCACGTCCCAAACTTCCACCTTGACAACGTCGTCTGTCGCTAAGAGGGAAAAAACACAATCACCAATCACTAAAATGCCTTTGATAAGAAAACTGTAACAAGTCAGGCAATTCTGAATCAACAGTATGGGAACATTTGACTACAGCTTACAGCATTCCTATGGTGAAAAACTGAAGGTTTGTTCAATCTTTCGATTTTGTTCAAAAGTCACATCGCAGTACATAGGTCTATACTACGATGCTATTCTCTCTGTGGAAGCCCCTTTGAAAGGCTTGGGCAGTTGTTTTCTTCATACAAATACATACAGTTGAAGTCGGAAGTTTACATACACCTTAGCCAAATACATTTAAACTAAGTTTTTCACAATTCCTGACATTTAATCCTAGTAATAATTCCATGTCTTAGGTCAGTTAGGATCACCACTTCATTTTAAGAATGTGAAATGTGAGAATAATAGTAGAGAGAATGATTTATTTCAGCTTTTATTTCTTTCATCACATTCCCAGTGGGTCAGAAGTTTACATACACTCAATTAGTATTTGGTGTCATTGCCTTTAAATTGTTTAACTTGGGTCAAACATTTCGGGTAGCCTTCCACAAGCTTCCCACAATAAGTTGGGTGAATTTTGGCCCATTCCTCCTGACAGAGCTGGTATAACTGAGTCAGGTTTGTAGGCCTCCTTGCTCGCACACGCTTTTTCAGTTCTGCCCACACATTTTCTATAGGATTGAGGTCAGGGCTTTGTGATGGCCACTCTAATACCTTGACTTTGTTGTCCTTAAGCCATTTTGCCACAACTTTGGAAGTATGCTTGGGGTCATTGTCCATTTGGAAAACCCATTTGCGACCAAGCTTTAACATCCTGACTGATGTCTTGAGATGTTGCTTCAATATATCCACATAATTTTCCTTCCTCATGATGCCATCTATTTTGTGAAGTGCACCAGTCCCTCCTGCAGCAAAGCACCCCCACAGCATGATGCTGCCACCCCCGTGCTTCACGGTTGGGATGGTGTTCTTCGGCTTGCAAGCGTTCCCCTTTTTCCTCCAAACATAATGATGGTCATTATGGCCAAACAGTTCTATTTTTGTTTCATTAGACCAGAGGACATTTCTCCAAAACGTACGATCTTTGTCCCCATGTGCAGTTGCAAACCGTAGTCTGGCTTTTTTTATGGCGGTTTTGGAGCGGCCTTTCAGGTTATATCGATATAGGACTCGTTTTACTGTGGATATGGATACTTTTGTACCTGTTTCCTCCAGCATCTTCACAAGGTCCTTTGCTGTTGTTCTGGGATTGATTTGCACTTTTCGCACCAAAGTACGTTCATCTCCTTCCTGAGCAGGATGACGGCTGCGTGGTCCCATGATGTTTATACTTGCGTACTATTGCTTGTACAGATGAACGTGGTACCTTCAGGCGTTTGAAAATTGCTCCCAAGGATGAACCAGACTTGTGGAGGTCTACAAAAAAATTCTGAGGTCTTGGCTGATTTCTTTTGATTTTCCCATGATGATAGTTTGTTAACAAGAAATGTGTGGAGTGGATGAAAAACAAGTTTCAATGACTCCAACCTAAGTGTATGTAAACTTCCGACTTCTTCAACTGTATTATAGCCAATAGAATTTGATGCCATGTACAAATAACATTATAGTATACGCCATTTAGCAGACACTTTTATTCAAAGCGACTTATAGTCATGCGTGCATACATTTTACATATGGGTGGTCCCAGGAGTCAAACCCACTATCCTGACATTGCAAGCGCCATGCTCCACCAACTGAGCTACAGAGTACCACTAGTGTGTGGCTCTCACACACACACACTCGCCATCTTCTTACTTTTGTAGTTCCAGTGGATGCTGGAGACCTGGATTTCTTGTGTGGGGATGTACTCTTCCAGAAACTTCTTCCCCTGTAGTCGGTGCCATAGGGCACTCTTTCCCGTGTTCCGGTCTCCGCGGATGATGATTTTCACTAAAAGAGACAGAGGGGAAAAGCAGGGAGACATTTTTGTGACATTATTCAAAAGACTCTCATGGAGAGAACGCAACAATAACTGAAATAATGGAAGAGCTCAAACTCTTCCTGAAGAAATTTGGTGAGTTAGGCACGATTTAGGCCTAGGTATTCAGACTGGAGTATGCTAACTGGGACCCTACCACTCCTATTGATTTGAACAGACACATTCAAATTATGGGTGGCTAACTCTCCAGGTCCAAAGACTACATTCTAGGTAGGCCTCTTCATAAAATTGAGTTGATTTGTATTTTGGGTGAACTAACCCTTTCATGTGAAACAGCCTGGGTGCCAGTATGTTTCTCCTTTAGTCAGATAAGACAAAGTTGTTGAGTGCAGAAACATTCAGGTACTTAGGTTACGAAAAACATAATATTCCTTCCAAATTAATGGCTGCAGGCATCCTGCAATCCTGCTGCAGGCATGGAACATGTTGTTTTTGACATTTAAAAGACAAGGCCTAAACAAACAATACTTGCTTCGACCCCATTGAAAAATAGACCAGTAGGTAAGGCGATCAGATATCCATGATACATTTTTAATTATCTTATAATAATATGCCATTTAGCAGACGCTTTTATTTAAAGCGACTTAGTCATGTGCGCATACATTTCTACGTATGCGTGGTCCCGGGGATCGAACCCACTACCCTGGCGTTACAAGCGCCATGCTCTACCAATTGAGCTACAGAGTAGTCCTACAACACTGTACTAACAGAGTTGTGTGAGCACAGAGTATGAAAAAGTCAAACTGTTTATAAAATGAGCTAACATGACATCATGTCCTATGAGGACATAGCAAGCATGTTTGAAATGGTCTGTTTGAGAGTTTGAAGTGTTTTCTTTTTCTCCAATATACGCACTGGCCACAAATACGAGTGTAGAACGAGTCTACAACATTATTTGGGTATGAGTTAACAGAATATGATAGTTCGATTTTCACTGGACATTTACTTTAAGGCAACATCCCCGGGCTTCAGGTCTTCTTGATATTGAATGACTTACTGTTGTACTGTACTCCCTTGGCAAACCTTCTCTGTAGGCTCTGGTTCATTGACTGCAAACCAGCTGGAATGTTTTTGTTTCCTGGCTGGCCAGGCTCGGTGCCCACCAGCTTCTTAAGAGCCGAAAACATCTTGACGGTCCTCTTTTGGAACTCTGGTTTGATACAAGAAGATGTCCTTTAATGTGTGTGTGTGAGAAAAATAGTCAGTATCCTGCAGACACACACCGAAACATCAAGATATTATTTTATACGTCCGTCAAATCGACAGGTAAACCAGAGTCATGATTTATGGTTTGGGATATCTTCATTTTGCTTTCCAGTTCAGTAAATCGAGGACAGTTTGGAGCACTCCTTCACAAGAAGCACCTGTTCTGTCAAGCAAGGTGATACTTTGTCAAACAGTCTTCAGTGATTGAGGCAGTTGGTTGCACTCTAACAATAATATTCATGGGAATCCATCAAGTAGATATCATCTGCAAATGAGAGACAGAAAGTTGTAATACATTTATGGATTTTTAATTTCACCCACATGTTCACACAGGGAGACAAAGCAGTACCGGGTAAGCATGCCATATCAGATGGTCTTATGAACCAATGCCATGTTGTTTATAGACTACCACAGTATGAGTCATAATACCCATAAAACCTAGCGGTCAAACAGGGAAATGGTTCCAATTATTTTTCCACCATTCATTTTTCCCATAGGGGATTTTAGAAACACTTAAAATAAGGGCTGTGTTTCGTGTAGGCTACACTGGCGTGACATTTTGATAACTGTGTAAATGTCTCTAGGACAAAGGAGACTTATCAATATATACGCCTGTATATACCCCACAAAAATGAAATGCTAATTAGCTATATTAAAGAACTACAAATGCCATGATCTGAACGAGACTGCCGAATCTTGGCAAAGGTAAGAATCTCTGGATTAACTAATGTTAGCTAAATGTAGTAATAAATAAATTGGCTAAATGTATTTAAATGGACAATTCTGTGAACTGTTAGCAAATGTGTCAGCTAGAGATGACTTGCAGGGATTTGTAGTTTTGCATGATGTCTACTTTGATGCTAATTAGCATTTTCGAATCTGAGAGTAAATAGGGCAGAATATATTGATAAAAGTCACCTTGTCCAAGAGAGATTCACAAGATTATCAAAACATCACGTCAGGGTAAGCCTACATGAAACATAGCCCTTATTTTAAGTGTTTCTAAAAAAAAAATCCCCTATGGGAAAAACTTTATGCTGGGAAAAACGATTTGAACCATTTCCCTGGGTTTATCGGTATTATGACACCTCCACTGTGGGGATCTATACACGTCCTTGCCTATCCAACTAGGCTACCTGAAGTTGTCAAATAGCTAGAAGTGTTATGAATTCACTAGAGCAGAATTAACTAATCATTTTAAAACAGCTATAACAACTTTTATATTTATTCATGCATTCACTCACACGTTTCATCCATAGGCTATACAGCGTTTATCATTTATTCTGTTTCTCACACGTGTCACATCAGAGGCTGAGCTGACAGCCAGCTTTATAACGTTGTAAACTAGCTAACGTTAACTAGTTACCTACATTTGCAATGAAACATTCCTCAAACAATCTGACGAGTGCATACTACGACAACCCAAATTACATTCGTGCATGTCCTGGATTTTATAATGGGTCTACTGCAAATCTGCCTGTGTTTACTGCTACGTGTCAAGACTGCCCACGTTCATTGGTATTCAATTCTGCCGAGGCTAACTTGCTAACTAGCAGTCACAACATAGCAATGTTACATCCTTGGCTTCGCGACCTATGCTATATAATTAATTTGTTAAATTACCTGACAGTCAGCCGCCGACCAAACCATCCCAGCCCAATGGTTTATGCAAAAAATCTGGTAATCATTCATTTCAAAGCAATAAGAGCCATTTCCCTAGCTGTCTGTTATCCTTCATCATCCCGACGGCAACTGCAGAGCATCAAGAGGAGTTGGATAAACCTTAATTTCAGGCTCCATGGCGCCCCTAGTGGAGCCAAGATGTGTACACACTACAGTACAAACAGTTGGCAGGCATGTCACGTTTGTATTGCATTATGTAACATATGGACCATATTAGGCTACATGCATGACATTTACACCACTTAATTTATCATGGGAAATAGGAAGTGATACGATTCAACATTTTCACAGGTGCGCCAGACACCAATATATTGCTTGTGAATTTGTTTTGCTGTCTGCAATAAAAATCTATCAAATCTTTCCAAAATAAAGGCATGATTTATTTGTACAAAGTACCTGGTACAGTATTACTGGTACAGTTTTAGAAAGCAGAGTGGAGTACTAAAGTTAAGTGCTACAAACAAAGTGCACAACTAGGGTGGTTAGTTCCATTTCACCGTTTCAGCACAAATGTAACATCTTTACAATAGAAAATGGGAGTATTAACTTTCCATTTGCAACTAACCCTTACAGTCACAACAAAATAAACAAATTCTACAACCACATTCCACCACCTTTACCAACCCAAAATGCACAAATGCATCCGGTTGCCCCACTTGGCCAATTCCAATTAATCTTCTGATTGTAAAAGTTGCTAGGACAGAAGTTTAGCATTTTGGAGAATAAACTATGCAAAGTCCAAATGGTTAGTTAGTGTTTTAGTTTCCCTCATGGATTCATCAAGGTTGACTGGGTCCTGGTTCCTTGTGTGCCCGCTTCACTCAAATTTGATTCCCTGAGCTAGAGGAAGATCCTTGCTGTAGTTGATAGTGCTGAAAGGGGAGAAGAACAGTTAGACAGTTTTCCTATTCTATCAAGTATCCATATTTTCCCAATGCTCAATTAAAATAGTTTATTCTTTCCAGCCCTTTATAAGGAGTCTGATAACGCTAAATATACTGAAGGGAGACCCTGGTAAAACCATGGTTCATAGCGCAGTGAATTTGGGGCCTATGCATTACATTATTTACATGGCAGTGTTCCAACTGTGATAGATATAGAGGGTCTGCCATAAAGAGATGTGGAACAAACTGAAATATTCCAGTGGGGTGTGATCTGGCAGAGAGCATTTATTTTATTCACTCACCATGTGGACCTTCTCATGTACTGCTTCCAAGAGTCGCTGCCAGACTCCCGTCCCCCTCCTGTGTGTTTCTCCCCACCTGGAAACACACACACACACACGTTAGCCTAACGCACACAGGGAAGAAAAGTCTACAGACAGACAGACAGCCAACGTACCGAAAGCTCCTCCAATCTCAGCTCCGCTGGTAGGAATGTTGACGTTCACGATGCCGCAGTCCGATCCTTTAGGTCTAGAGGAAGAAAGCATGTTTACAATGAATAGGCCTACCTCCATTTTCCAAGGTCTACACCACTTAGACACAGACTAGATGTTGTACTGTATACACAGCGTTGTGTGCTGTGGTCCACCTGAGGCTTTTGGAGTATTCTTGGTGTCCATCAAGTGGATCAAACCTGTTTTCAAGCTAAGACCCAGTCCTCAGCCACAACCCAAATCCCACTAACATTCTGGAACTACTGCGTCGTATCAGAGGGACTTCACACACACCACCCAGCTCTTACCCCAGCCAGCGGAAGACTCTGCCCATGTCCTTGGTGAAGATGCTGCTGGAGAGGCCCTGCTTGACCTCGTTGTTCCAGGCAAACGCCTCCTCCTCAGTCTGAGTGGACAACAGAGATAAGAGTTAGCAGGGATTTTATTTTTCCCCCTGATTAACCAGGAACCAAAATGGGCCAGTAGCCACCTTCTCTGGTTTTCAACATTGCGCAGGGTACAGCTTACCTGGTTGAACCAGACTGAGTGCAGCATTCCATCTGGTTTAACCAGGCTCCTGAGGCAGGAGGTAATGGATGTCCTACCTGGAACTTGAGGACGTAGAGGATGGGGACAAAGGTCTCGGTGTGAACGATGGGCGCATCGTGAGCCAGTCCTGTGATGATGGTGGGCTCCACGTAGTTTCCAGGACGATCCATCACCTGGCGACCAAAACAAAACAATAAAGCCTGCAACTCTGATACTCCCACTGTTCAGGTTTTAATTGACAGCTATTCCATACATTAGCAGATACCGGCTTGTAGTCTTATTTGCACTTTCTACTGGGTTCCAAATTGATCATTTATGCTAGAGAGAAATTGTGAGAGAGATTGTGTAGTGCAAGTGCCATTTTTCAACTTAAGGCGTGTCCTCTTAAAATGGCATATTAACGTTCCTTTAGACTCCATACAGAGTATCAATAGAGACTTCTTCACACATGGTTTGTTCCTAAGAGCCCACATCACACAGAGGTGCTCTAATTTCACAGTAGGACCACAGTACAGTACCTTTCCTCCACACACTACAGTGCCACCCTGTTGCTTAGCCTGTTGAATGGCTGCCAGGTACTGGTCCACAGCCTGCTTGGTGTGGAGCGGGCCGTACATAGTGCTCGCTGTAGGGGAAAAGGGGGACATTTATATTAAATCAACATGCAACATGTGATTCACACTTGTATTGCGGTCTCATGTTCAGCCATCTTAGTATTAAAGTTGTACAGAATTGGCTGATCCATTTTACAGAAGGACTTACGGTCCCAGGGGTCTCCAATGCGGACTTGTTTGTAGGCTTTGGCTACCCTCTCCACCACTACGTCATGGATGCTTCCGTGCAGCATCTAAAACAAAGTCATCGGTAACTTAAAGGAAGGAGAAACGGAGTGTAAAATAATTCAAACAGGGCCTTGGATTGTAGGTCTACAATTTTTTTTCTGAGGTCTTGCCTGATTTCTTTTGATTTTCCCATGATGTCAAGCAAAGAGGCACTGAGTTTGAAGGTAGGCCTTGAAATACATCCACAGGTACACCTCCAATTGACTCAAATGATGTCAATTATCCTATCAGAAGCTTCTAAAGCCATGATATAATTTTCTGGAATTTTACAAGCTGTTTAAAGGCACAGTCAACTTAGTGTATGTAAACTTCTGACACACTGGAATTGTGATACAGTGAATTAAAAGTGAAATAATCTGTCTGTAAACAATTGTTGGAAGAATTACTTGTGTCATGCACAAAGTAGATGTCCTAACCGACTTGCCAAAACTATAGTTTGTTAACAAGACATTTGTGGAGTGGTTGAAAAACGAGTTTTAATGACTCCAACCTAAGTGTATGTAAACTTCCGACTTCAACTGTATACGTGTGTGCCTTCTGCATTGGTCAGATATGAGCATTGTGGTCCTTTATGTTGCTGTCTACTTACCAGCCTCCTGGTGGTGGTGCAGCGTTGTCCAGCAGTTCCCACAGAAGCAAAGACGGCAGAAGGCACCACAAGGCTCAGATCAGCATCCTCAAACACTGAAGACACACATAACCGTTTATACACCATTTCATTTCTTAGGAATTGTATCTAAGTGACTGGTAACTTTATGGACAGACTAGTATTTTCATAGTCGTAATTATCATACTTTTATAGCCTCACAGCTATTTTGTGAGGCAATTCATAAATCTGTCTGCTCATGCATGTACAACTACTGAGTATCATGTCCCAGTATCATGACAATAACCAACAAGCTACAACCTAATCATAATTGGCTATCTATTTAATGTAGTGTCTTCACACCCTTACCTATGATGGCGTTGTTCCCGCCAAGCTCCAGCAAATTACGACCTGTACAAAAAAAAACACTTAATGTTATAAAAAATAAAATAAAGCAATGCTTCCCAAATGTGGTCATGTTTGGTTGAGAGGTGAAACAAATGTGGACGAGGAGGTGCCGACTCACCAAACCTCTCCTGCACCATCATGGCCACCATCTTGCCCACGTGGGTGCTGCCAGTGAATGAGACCAGGTCGACGCGCTCGTCCTTGGACATTGCTGTGCTGTGCGTTCGAAAGGAAGTGACTAGTGTAAGAAATATGGTGGACACTCCCTCTTGCCCATGCCTACACCAATCCAATTATTTTTCATTTTTAGGGAGTAGTGTACCAGGAGAAAGGACAGAAGTCAGTGAGTGATAAGCGTTTGACTAGGGCAGGAGACTCACCCGATGTCAGCGCCACCGCATGTCATGGAGCAGATAGCACCAGGCAGGTTGTTTTGCTCCAACACGTCGGCCACGATTCTGTTGGAACACGTGTGTACACGCACGACTGAGCACAATCTAACCCAATTCTACACGTTTCTAACCATCTGTGTGTTGATGAAAATTGGTTTGGTGGTTTAATTGAGTCATCCATTTTGGAGTATGAACAATTTACATTTAGTCTACATTTTCTCTTCAACATGACAGTAACTAAAATAAGAGAATTTGCATTAACTCTTCAACCTCCAATAAAGTACGCAAAGACACCTACTTGGTTACAGCTACACTGGTGAGAGGGGTGGTGGGAGCTCCTTTCCTAAAGAGGAAATTCAACACAAAAACATTGCAGAGCTGGAATAGGAGCTGTGTACACTGCCATAATGTGAACCTGATTCCCTTCAAACAGGTTTGAGTCCTTACAGAGAAGCCCGAGTCCCCTTGCAGAAGTTATTTGCGACATTACCAAAACGAAACTGGCAGAGAGACGAAGACTGTTACAAATATCATTTCAGTGACGTAGAACAGTTAACAGCGTGACCCTGTGGGCGCTCACCAGAGGCAGACGTTGCCACAGATGAGGGCGATGGCGTTGTTCCAGCCGTAGACGGCCACAGGGAAGTTGAAGGCTGTGATGATGCCCACCAGACCCACAGGGTTCCACATCTCGATCAGCGCGTGGCCCGGTCCTAAAGAGAAATCGCTTAAACTGAAGACTTTTCTTTTCTAAATGTCTTTAACACCATCATCGCAGGATTCTCCAACATCGGTCCTGGAACACTACTGTGTGCACAGGCTTGTACTCCAGTCCTGGGCCCGTATCCACAAAGCATCTCAGAGTAGGAGTGCAGATCTAGGATTAGTTGAGCTTTTTTTAGATCATAATGAATAAGACTATATGGACAGATGCTAGAGCTGTGGCCCTGTTCTCAAGTTCGTGGTGAGCAACTGATGAGTAGGATCAGGAGTGTTAGAGCAGGAATGGAGTAAAAGCCTGCACACTTTGTTTTCTAAACCCCACTACCACCCTCCTGCAAATAGACAATATTTAAATGGATTGATAACTGCAGACTTACTTTCAGAGGGGAGAACTGGACCTCCGATCATGCGAGACAGTCCAACAGCGTAGTCACAGACGTCAACATATTCCTGCACCTCACCGACTCCCTCAACATAGATCTTCCCCATCTCCAGGGACACCTACGAACAGAAAACAGTTTCCTTTTTGAGCACTGTTCGATTTTGAGTACTGCATCCCTTATTAGCATGGTTCTGTCCTCTCCCCTCAAGCACCAACGAGACAAGTTCTAGGATGTTGTGTCAATGTATATGGAGCTACTGTGAAGCTGATCATCGTAGTTATGTAACCCTTTTAATGTGTGATTGCAGCACAGACTACAGCGCTCTTACCAAACTGCCCAGGACTTTGATCTTTTTCCTCAATGCATCGCCAATCTGACGCACAATCTCTCCTCTTTTAGGGGCCGGAATCTAGATTTGACAAGAAAATTAGATTTTTAGTGTTGGCGTGTTCAAAGGTGAAATGAAATTAGCAATGAGGACACGTTCTTGGTTAAGTCACCATACTTACATCTGCCCACACCTTCCAGGCTTCCCTCGATTTCTGCACAGTTTCTTCATATTCTGCCATGGTTGCCTGATCAAAAGAAGAAGCGGTATCCAGTAACTTCACTACGTTAACGTTTTACATTGGGGTCAGTAAGGCTCCTTCGAGACTTTTAAAACAGAAAAATAGTTAAAGTAACTGAATCCAGGTCTGTTGATTAATGTTGGACTTTTGATCTGTAGGGAAGCATTAGGAATGTAAACCTGGTTTGGCTTGAACAATTAAGTAGCAACTGACGCCTTGAAGACAAGGCCATTCAGAAGCTTTTGGAAAATGAGCTGGTCTGACATTTTTAAACAAATAAGGTTGACGTCTAGGTGAGTAGAATTTAATAGAAAACCACCATTAGGGCCATGCACAATTTCTGTGTTAAATTGCAAAATGGTAGCAGTGGTTTACATCCCAAAATGGTGACAGTGGTTTACATCCCAAAATGGCGACAGTGGTTTACATCCCAAAATGGTGACAGTGGTTTACTCTGATAGAACTGTGAGACCTTATTGACATTACCTGGCGTACTCTGGCGATGGGCTCATTGTTGGCAGGGCAATATGACGTGATGACCTTGAAGAACAAACATCCGTTAGAAAATTACACCCCACCACATGAGCAGGAAATTGATGACTGTATACAGTTCACAGCCTTTGAATTGGATACTTCATTGTTATCTGAAGCCACTGAGAGCAGTGCACTTTTCAGCACATTGGCCACTACTTATACTTGACATTATATATCTTACTCTTTATAAGTTAGTCTATAAAGAATACATAAGTGTACAGTAAAATGAAAGGCTGTCGATGGGTTATACCATGATACTCCCTGACAATTGCATTGGGGGTTATTGAGGGAAAATGACTAAGATTGAAGTTAGAGTGATCAACCGAATCAAATTCAACGTCCTATTTACTATCATATCTGGCCAATAGGTGTCACTGTAGGGTAAGACATGTTCATTGTGCGCAAAAAAAAGATAAAGAAAACTGTAGGAAGAAGTTCAAACAGTTAACAGTATACATTTACAGTGACTTCATAACTACCTAATTAAGTCATGTATGTCTGTCATGTAATAGTTTGACAGCTGTAAATCTGTCGCACGCTTTTTTTTTTGTAAACCTGTAGATACCATGTGCTAGCTATGAATGCTAGCAAGCTGGACCGTGTCAAGTAGGTTCACGTATACAGTATCATGAAAGTCCACGACGTGTCTAGATAGCAAAGTGAACCTGTTACCTAGGTAGTTTTCTATGCTAACCAAATACAGTGGAGACATATTCGCTGAAGTATAGCAACTGAACTTGGTTGAATTTGCTTACTTACGTTACATTGTATAACCTAGCAAATGTGTCAATGAATTAAACAAGAACGAAGACAAACCTCAAAAGTCAAAGCAACAAACTATTCGGACAAGTTTGCGTAACATTTTGATTTGCCTCAATTGTCAAACTTGGGCTATTAGCTTAACGTGGCAAGCTAAGTGGCCTAGCTAGCTTGCAGACAATGTGTTTTATAACCATGTCTGGATTTATATTTAGAATCCAGGACCCACATAACGTGTACTAGCTAATCCCCTTGCTTATTTTACCTCTCCTTTGCCTCCCCAGTTCCCGTTGTAAACACCGTCATTATCTTCACTCAGGCCTAATTCTTTCAACCAGGCATATTTGGGCTGGTTTATCAGAAGTGTAGACATGGCTGCAGATTGTTTGTAGCTGATTGTGAGAAGTTTCTTTCGAAGGGCCCAGTGCCGTACAATGGTTAATGTGAAGCAGCGCTGCATGGTTGGATATCGGGTGCAATAAACGGCGTGCTACGCAAGTTCCACCTAGGCCTCGTGACATTCGCCAGTGATTGGTCCACGCGCAGCACCGCCTTCAGACCGAATTGGTTAGTACTATCCGGGATCCTTGGGACGTTCCTACTCTAAATCTCTACCCTTACCCTTACCCTTACCCTTCTTCTTCTTCTTCAATGAGGTTTAACAGCGGTTGGCATATAACCCTTACCCAGTGATGTAAAGTACTTAAGTAAAAGTATAAGGAATTTTAAATGATTAATACTTTTACTTTTAATAATGAAGTATATTTTAGCCATTACATTTACGTTTTATACTTAAGTATATTTAAATCCAAATACTTTTAGACTTTTACTCAAGTAGTATTTTACTTTCACTTTTACTCAAGTCATTTTCTATTAAGGTATATTTACTTTAATTTTACTAAAGTATGACAATTGTGTACTTTTTCCACCACTTCCCTTACTTCCCTTACCTTAACCCTTACCTTAACCATTTTACATTTCAACTTCAATTGAAATTATTTCCTAAGGCTGAGGTATTTTTATCAGTTATTCCATACCAAGGCTAGATGAGGCTGAATGGCAACAACACCACACACGACTGCAATGCAACTAATTAATCTCATTGGTACATGACTGTTCAGTCTGTTGAAACTTCAGAATTTTCAAATTCAGAAAATTCAACATTCAAAAACAGAATGCATCCCAAAAGGAAACCATATTCCCTATAACTTTTCCCTGTATAATGCTCTACTTTTGACCAGAGCCCTACATCTTGAGCTACTTTACACGTTTGTTAAATCCCTGGGATGAGAAGAAATGTGCAAGTCTGCACTTTGGGAGAAGGATAATGGATATGCAGCCAATGTTAATGGACACACGCCTTTTTGAGTCATTAGTTTAAAAAAAAAATAGTTTAAAAAAGAAAGGGCTAATAACTGACACAAGTTGTTGCAGTAGCAGTGAAGAGGATAATTTGCACAGTGCTGATATTCTCTGATTCTTAAACAAACCTTAAGCTTTAGAAAATGACACAGACAACGACTTCTGAGTATATGTAAAATATCTTTAGTTATGCAATTGCAGGTAGAAGTTAATACAGAGTCACACATGATGTGGATGGCTCCTCATAAATTCTACAAAATGTCTTAAAACAATCTCTGCTTTTTATACAATTACGCCACTCCCCCCTGGGCAGATCAGGAGCCATCTTGCTTTCTTCCTGTGGCTATGTGTATCAGGTCATAGCGCACACACAAGTGATAACGTTAGCTCTGTTACTGCCCATATCTCCACACAGCTGCGCACTTGGAAGATAGTAAAAGACAGGATGAACTGAAAAACTGTGGTCACTCTGAGGCTCTTTGTTTTAACCGTGTGACCAGGTTACTCAGAAGCAACGAGAAACAATACAGGTCTATACAGGTCTATCTGTTCCTGAAGTTTATCTCTATCCCATGTCCTTGACTACACGCCCAGACCAGCTGCAGGGAGCTAGAGGGGAGCCTCGTCATGAAAAGTACAGCATTGGAAGTTAGGAAATGTCTCTACTATTGTTAAGCATATTAATTGTTAACTATTAATATTAAACAAATCAGGCAAATACATGTATTCCCCATTAGTACGTAAGACAGTGGATCCAGAGGTGTATAGGTTAATTGTGGACTTTAAAGTCCACGGCAGATACCAGGACAATGCAGCTAAAACAGAACGGTTTGCTGTTACACGGAGGGATAAAACCTTCAAGATGAAGGGTAAGATGAATTGCATCCCTATTATCCAGGTCCTCTGTAGCTCAACTGGTAGAGCACGGCGCTTGTAACGCCAAGGTAGTGGGTTCGATCCCCGGGACCACCCATACACAAAAAAAAAAAAATGTATGCACGCATGACTGTAAGTCGCTTTGGATAAAAGCGTCTGCTAAATGGCATATTATTATTATTATTATCCATGCCCAGTAATATCCATAAACATACACTACCGTTCAAAAGTTTGGGGTCACTTAGAAATGTCCTTGTTTTCGAAAGAAAGGCATTTTTTTTTGTCCATTAAAAATTACATATAATTGATCAGAAATAGAGTGTAGACATTGTTAATGTTGTAAATGGCTATTGTAGCTAGAAACGGCTGATTTTTAATGGAATATCTACATAGGCGTACAGAGGCCCATTATCAGCAACCATCAGTCCTGTGTTCCAATGGCACGTTGTGTTTGCTAATCCAAGTTTAACATTTTAAAAGTCTAATTGATTATTAGAAAACCTTTTTGCAATTATGTTAGCACAGCTGAAAACTGTTGTGCTGATTAAAGAAGCAATAAAACTGGCCTTCTTGAGACTAGTTGAGTATCTGGAGCATCAGCAATTGTCAGTCTATTCTTGTTCTGAGAAATGATGGCTATTCCATGCGAGAAATTGCAAAGAAATGGAAGATCTCGTACAACACTGTGTACTACTCCCATCACAGAACAGCGCAAACTGTCTCTAACCAGAATAGAAAGAGGAGTGGGAGGCCCCGGTGCACAACTGAGCAAGAGGACAAATACATTAGAGTGTCTAGTTTGAGAAACAGATGCCTCACAGGTCCTCAACTGGCAGCTTCATTAAATAGTACCCGCAAAACACCAGTCTCAACATCAACAGTGAAGACGTGACTCCAGGATGCTGACCTTCTAGGCAGAGTTGCAAAGAAAAAGCCATATCTCAGACTGGCCAATAAAAATAATAGATTAAGATGGGCAAAATAACAGACACTAGACAGAGGAAGATTGGAAAAAAGTGTTATGGACAGACAAATCGAAGTTTGAGGTGTTCGGATCACAAAGAAGAACATTTGTGAGACGCAGACCAAATGAAAAGATGCTGGAGGAGTGCTTGATGCCATCTGTCAAGCATGGTGGAGGCAATGTGATGGTCTGGGGGAGCTTTGGTGGTGATAAAGTGGGAGATTTGTACAGGGTGAAAGGGATCTTGAAGAAGGAAGGCTATCACTCCATTTTTCAACGTCACGCCATACCCTGTGGACCGCGCTTGATTGGAGCCAATTTCCTCCTACAACAGGACAATGACCCAAAGCACAGCTCCAAACTATGCAAAAACTATTTAGGGAAGAAGCAGTCAGCTGGTATTCTGTCTATAATGGAGTGGCCAGCACACTCACCGGATCTCAACCCTATTGAGCTGTTGTGGGAGCAGCTTGACCGTATGGTACGTAAGAAGTGCCCATCAAGCCAATCCAACTTGTGGGAGGTGCTTCAGAAAGCATGGGGTGAAATCTCTTCAGATTACCTCAACAAATTGACAACTAGAATGCCAAAGGTCTGCAAGGCTGTAATTGCTGCAAATGGAGGATTCTTTGACGAAAGCAAAGTTTGAAGGACATAATTATTATTTAAATTAAAAATCATTATTTCTAACCGTGTCAATGACTACATTTCCTATGCATTTTGCTAGATTTCCTATTCAAACTCATTTCATGTATGTTTTCATGGAAAACAAGGACATTTCTAAGTGACCCCAAACTTTTTAACGGTAGTGTACTATGTGTGGAAATCACCCACTGGTGTTCAGTGAACCTATCAAATGTCTAATTTCAATAGATGGAGATCTTCATTAAAAGTGCACCCGGGTCAAAGACTCGCCACACTCTCCACACCTGGTCAGAACACCTGTAGATGCAAATTCTATATTTGTGGATTTCCACAGCTGTTTTTTTTTTTTTTTTACCTAAGAACCCTGGGAGTTGGTGGGAATGGACCTGGTGGAGCCACTTGTACCCAACATTGGTGACTACATCTGCATAATGGTGGATTACTTCACCAGGTGTAGTGAGGCATTCTCTGTGAAGAGGAAGTCTGCAGAAGAGGTGTCAGGGTGCAATGTCACCTGGTTTTATAAATCCAGTGCTCCAATGCGGATCCTTATGGATCAGGGGCGCAAATTCGCCAATGACGTAGGTTTCAGAATATCACATGATTACTGCATGTAGATTAAGATATGATTATGAAAATATTATTATTTGGGGAAAGCACAAGAGATATGGTGATGCAATTATGTAGATGAGTGTTATAGTTATGTTATAATAATGTTATAACTTTTATAACTGTATTTTCTCCTCTGAAAATGCACAGATAAACACGGCATTGTGTGCCAAACTTGGCATCCAAAGGAGCTTTTGCGCGCCATATAACCCTCACACTAACGGGTTGGTGGAGCTCCTGAATGGAACCGTTCAAAGGTAGGTACTAAGACTCGAAACAGTGACGAACTGCTAGATATTTTAAGTATTGAGGTGTACAATCTGGCCTTTACCATGTCTGCAAGCTCTCCAACAATTGTACTTGTATTTTCAGGACCCTCTGCAAATCTTTTGAGTCCATAATGTTTGGGCGGAGGACCAAGAAGCAGATGACAACTGGGTACTCTCTGTCCTTCCTCCACTTTGGGAAAGAGGCGAGGTACCTCACACATTTCAGGAAGTTAGTGATCTTGAACTCCTATTTCAGCTATTTCTGTTAGTGTCTAGTAAACCTTTCTGTGGCCTGTTTAGACTTTTCCTTGCTTTATAGGTGTGTGTCAGGGCCGAAGACATCCTGGCCGAAGACACTCTTTGAAAGGCTGAGGAGGCAGGAGGAGATTAACGTAATTGTTCTCAGAAATGTGGCCAAAGCCCAGGAGAGGACGAGGAAGCGAAAACTAGCAGAAGGGGACCATGTCGTTTTTTAAGGTCGGCGACAAGGTCCTGCGGAGGAAAGGAGGCAAACTGGAGAGGGACAACCTGGGCCCATACATGGTCACAAACATTGAGGGGAAGAGTGTTGACATCAGGAAGGGTAGGGATGGACAGCTCTTCCCCAAGATAAACCTGGACCACCTCCTCCCCCTCCGTCCCACCTGTTTCCTCGGGACCTCCTCCCCCTCCGGCCCTCCTGTCTCCTACTTCTGTGTATATTGTTTGAAAAGGTTATGTAACCAAAAGAGCAGAAGGTGACCTACCTAAACTCTATGCATGGGGGGAGCAGAGGGAAAGCAAAGCCAAAACTAAGTAAGTTA